AAGAAGAAAACACATCTGGCCAGTCTGTGCTTTTCTTTAGGATGGCGGTGACTAGAACTGAAGTCAAAATGGAACTGACTTAATATGGCGTTGCCTTGTTTTATATCTCTGAATTGTTGAAAGTTTTAGTAAAGCGGATTGGATACTTTAAGTCAACAAGCCAGATTCTCCTGCAGCAGCCGAAAGCTCTGATTGGTTGGAACAATGTGTCATGCGTTTCTATGGAGATGAGGATCAGTCTGTCTGTGCAATAGTCCTGTTTTCATTAAACATAAATCATGACATATTTATTTCACAGATCATTTACTTGATTATTATTGATCAACATATGTTTTGCTTAATATTTTTAATCACAAATAAAGTACTTTGATTAAGTAAAGCTTCTTCTCCTCCTTCTGGCTCTTCTCCTGGAATGTAAACAGTCTGAGGAACACCCGACCTTGGCTTTTCTACACGGGTGTTACTGTGCACAGGGGGCAGCTGTGTGGAGCTGAAAATGATGAACTTCATAACCTTACACACATGCATTGCAACCAAGCCCCCACAACGGAGCTCTAAAATTGAGTCAAACCCGGAAGTACCAAAAATTGCAGTTCCACCCTCATCCACTGGGGGCCGGTGTCAGAAGCGAGCAAATCCTCATTGACTCCCATGTTAAAAATACAAATTTCACAGCAGAAATAAACATGTTTACAGCCTGGTACTCAGAAGCTCTGGTGTTGTGCACAGTTAACTCCGGTTGTAGCTAGGTTGCTACCTCCGTTAGCTTAGCTCCCACCTCCGCCTTAGCTTCAGGTTAGCTTGTAGCTAGTTCGACCGGGTGTTGTCAGTTGATCCCAGCCTTACAGCCCCACCCTCAGCTCCACCTCTCTTCCCTTTCATGGAATTGTCTGGGCTTGACGGAACCTGTGACACGGTCAAAATGGCGGTGGTGGCCACCTCCCATTTTAGTACAAAAATGTGTTATTGGAGCCTATGGAAATGAATTGTCCAATATTTATATGTCGATGGCGCACACTCACACACACACTCACACACATGCACGCACACACACACACACACACACAGCCTAAAGCCAGAATATGGAATGCAGAATATCAGCAGGGGGACAGATTGAGACAGAATGTCATGTGTCTGTGACAGTGTGTCCTGTCACTGTGACCTGCTTGATGATGCGCCCTGGCTACTAGAACAGGGGAGATTTCTGTTTGGCTGACTGGTTAGTGCATGTGACTGTCACCTGGGAGTCTGGGGATCGAATCCCGATTGGACCATTTTTTATAACCGCCACAGATCTCTCTGAAGAACTCAGCATTGACGGCTTCAGCAACGCTGTGCCACTCCGTGGATTTTCTCTTATTTGTTTTGCAAAAGCACTTCCTTTTATTTCTCCATCTCACCCACAGATACCTCAACTTCTGCTTGTGTGAAATTGCGCTTCCTTTATCTGCTTTGATCTACGGTCGCCATGTCATTGGCGGAGCGCTGCAACAGCCGGCTTATGTATATGCATGAGGTCCACAAGGCCCTTTGCATTGACTATTTATGGCAGTAAGTGGGCGTGGTGAGGGCAGAATGTGACTAAAATGCAGATGAGAAACATTCTCGTTAGTCTCCGATTTATGAAGCAGAGATTGCGTGCAGCTGTGCGTACTCCATGTTTGATAGATCATAAACCTACTTGGCCTAAGTACATCTTTTTTGCTGAGCTTAAGTACGGTTTTAGTAAGGATTCTACACCATGTTTGATAAATGAGACCCCTGATTCCTGTAAGTGTCTTTATGAGAACGGACCTTTGTCTTTACATCTAACTGTTTTATCTCATTTTGATCTTGTTTGTTTCTATCTTATCTTTCTGTTTTTATTTGGTGCGAAGCTATCTATGTGTCTGTTGATGCTGCCTCTTGTCCAGCTCGTCGTTATAAATGAGAATGAGTTGTTAATCGGCTCATCTGGTTAAATAAAGATCAAATAAATAAATAAATAAAACATGAAATAATATGGTGCTGTCTTCAAAAACCAAGGTCCACTAATTCTTTATTGATAATCCCATTCTATGTCTCTTTGAGAGAGAGCTGTGTCACTATGACAACAGGGCTACATCCATCCTCAAATGCACTCTGCAGCATTTTTTATCTTTGCAGTTTTCTGCAACACACAAAGATCATGATGGTCTATTTTGGTGGGATGTTCCATATTAATTGTTGTCATAAAGTAAAATATTTACGTACACTAGTATGGTTTTCACCTAATTTAGATTGCAATTAACTAAAATCTGAAGTCTCTCTCTCTCTCTCAGTGATCAGAATGTTCCTAATGCGGAGGCTTTGATTCATATTTTTAATCCCTGTGAGGAAACTGGTTCTCATGACAGCAGCACACACACACACACACACATACACAAGAGATAACTCCTACAAAACGCCCGTCATCCTTGCTCACTCAAACAGAAGCAGGGAGCCAGCGGATCACTTTAGTACAAAATGCTGTGGCATTCGGCAGGATGTCATGGGCTTTGATGTCGATGCTGAGCTGCATTACAGAAGCCAGTGAAGCCTCTTTTCATCTGTCCGCTTCTTATTCTGAGGATGTTGGCTGAATTTGACTCCTATTTTCCACCTTAGGCCGTTCTACTTTCAGGAACCGTCGTTTCACTTCATGCATGCTTTTGTCCAGCTTCAGCTGACCTTTTACCCAACACAGGGCACTCATGTGAGCCCTCTGAGGCAGAAAGAGATATAAAACACAATCATGACATTTTTAGTCTCAATGAGAAGGTTCCATCTTAGGATGGCTACATACTGCCCCCTGGTGGAGCGTTTGTTCAGAGCATACCTATGGAGCATACACATTTGGGCTCTGGGGAGGTTGTTTATGTTTTTTGGCTGCAGTCATCTCAAAGAGGTCTGGTTGAAGGCACTCGATTTCAGTAATTCTACAAAAGAAACAAGTAATTGGCCCTCAAGAGCAATTAAAAGTTGAGAAGTTTATCTCAGCTCCGAGGGTTTCTTAATAAAATCCTGTTGTGCTTTTACAGAAATACGAATTCTGCCTCTTCTGTTTGTTCATGGAACTATAAATTATTTGGAAATTATGGATGTTTTTTCCTGTGTTTTCACTTTTCAATGTTTTCTAGTCTGCACAGATTTAAAATGTATGTCTCTATACATAAATTCATACATGCATACACACACAGGCACTTCACGATGGGCCAGCATAGTCAGACACCTGCAATAATTTGCATGCATACACCAATAAATGTGTGTACATGCCTCTCAGTATTAGCACAATAGAGATGCAAAAGCAGTTCAGATTAATATTAAAAATAACATCAAAATAAGACAAAAATAAGTCTGATTATTAATAGATAATAATAAGAAGACAGTTCCTTAAACATAGGATTCTCTGAATAAAAGTTTTTAATAATTTTAAAACTATTCAAAGTAGCCGCACCACCAACACTGACAAAACTGAGGAAATTGGTACTGCAGTGGAGAGACCTGACACCCTCCATCATCACAACGGCTCACAAACACCTCCACCCTCATAGGTCACTCAGGAAAGCTGGACTCGCCTCATCGTGTTCTGCAAGGGCACCGGTGAAAGCATCTTGGCCTACAGCTCCACATCCTGGTTTGGTAACTGAAGAATCCCGTGATGCTTCCACTGGTCTGCCGTCATCATCAAAGACCCACACCACCCGTCTCATGACCTCTTTGCCCTCCTGCCATCTGCAAGTGCAGGAGCATCAGAAGCCGCACTTCCAGGATACTCAGCAGCTTCCTTGCACAGGTGATGAGACTCTTAAACAGACTCCGCCCACCATTAATTTCTGGAAATATCCATCAAAATGTTGAAAATGAATGAAATGATGCCCAGTTGTTGAAAAATGTTGATGGCTCCGTAACATATAACCATAAAAACCAGGTCTAAAATACATGGGAGTGGGCATAAGTCTCTGGGCGACCCCATATTAGATGCCACGTTTCCTTCTACGGGAGCCCGTGAGGACAAAATGCATTTACTGATTTGTAACAAATGGTTACAAAACTTTCGTCATTCTTAAATGTTGTTGTTTTACACATTTATCTCCTCACTTGCCAGTGATGAAAGGGAGTCTGATGCGCTTGTTAGTTTGCTAAAGTTTGAACTCCCCAGGCTTTTTGACCCTAATGGGCATCTGTTGGTAAGGTCTCAATCCAACACAAAAATACTTCTTGCTAACGATTAAGGTATCTACTGCCCCCGATCGCGAGGAAAAATACACTGTCGCTTCAAGGGAGCTAGGTAGTTTAGGCTTGCTTTTAGCACCCCCTAGTGTCCGTTTAGTAGATCCAAAAGCAAAACCTATCTCCTCGCTGTGTGCATGTCTTTTTAACACCTTAATCTAACAGCTGAAATGTCTCCCCAGCCTTCCTTAGTGTCTAGAGGGGTGATTCATCACTAAATTAAACAAATCAGCTGTGTTCATTATCTAAAACACGCAGGAAACATGCTGGAACAAGACTGCTGTGCCAGGTATGTCAGGTCAATTCTTTTCAAATTCCAAACAGAGAATTGCCCGCCAGTCTGACATTGCAAGTGGCAATATTCTTGCCACAAGTGATAGAGGCTGGGTCGCCGTTCATTAAGCCTGTGAGTCATTTTAGCACAAACTGGCTGAAGAAAAAGATTTAAAAATATGAAAATTTGCATAATTTGCCTTTAAGTGCCCGTTGAAGGGTTGCAGGTTTGCACCTCACGCAGACACTTGCAGTTGTATGTCTTTGGGCAAGGCGCATCACACTCCTTGGTTGTGGTTAGAGGAGTTGGTGGCACTGATTGCGTGGCAGCCTCTCTACTCGGTTCGCCCCAGGGCAGCTGTGGTTACTATGTAGCTCATCACTGCAAACCTGTGAATGTGTGCATAAGTGGCCGAATAACTGTTGAGCTGTAAAGCGCCTTGGGGGGTTCCAGGACACAACAGTTATTAATTGTAAAAATGCCCCCCCCCAAAAAAGACTTTTTTGTACACACATTTATTGTGAAGTACATTTACACAGTGGTGCAAAAATGATGTTTTCCATTAACAAGAAAAAGGTGAACCTGAAAATGATCAACACAAAATAGTATTTTATCAAAGAAGGTTGGCCCTCTTAAGAAATAAACCTGCAAAACAGTGAGGGGGAGTTTAAAACAGCGCAGACTCAGACATGTTTATCACTGAGCAGTCGGAAATTCAAAGGTTTTGTAAGAAAATCTGTCCCTTTTTAGTTCGGGCCAACTGTAATCACATAAAATATCCTCGTGTGAGTCGCCACGGTTGCTTCCAGCAGTTCATCACTCAGAATAAATCATGCTAGACAAGAATAATCCCTCCACTTTTAAAATACACTATCACACGTGCACGGCTCTCCTTTCCAATCACAAAAACGTCTTTTATACGAACGTTATCTGGGCTGTTTGATGTCGGCCATGAGAAAAAGATGCTGAACAAACAGCGAGTCTCACCAGTCCGAGACGTAGCCACAACTCTTCCTACTGTTCCTACAAAGCATTAAAAAGATCCATGGCACGTTTGATCACCCAGTTTAGCCCGTAGCTGTTAGCAAATCAACTTTACAGTTTTGAAGCTTCAACAATCCATGGAATGTAGCGTGATATCGATAAAAGCCACACAGTCCATTGGCGAAGTCGTGCTTTGACTCACGGGTCTCCTGGTGGCACTCGAAGGCACCACATCTGCTGGTAGAGGGGACAGACAGACAGAGTAAGGGCCAGAGGTAGGTCTCGTGTCCTGCGTGGATGTCCCCTTGTTGGGAGGGACTAAGATAATCTCCAGCTATGGCATTTAATCCAAAATATTGTTCTGTGTTAAGATGCATTTACACAATTTTACCAGAAGCAGTTTTCAGTGCTGCCAACGTTTCATCTCATTAAAAAAATAAAATCCCCAACAGCAGCAGCTGGGCTCGTTTTACACTGGACACGCGTTCATGCCGTGCTGCATTCTCCGCTGACCATCAAATAATTACAGGTTTACACTGTAAATCAAACATTCCTGGACTCCATCTTCTCATTGTTGTCATCTTCAATAAGCAAACAGCCCATTTTAATCAGCTAAACATCCACTAACAGCTGCTGCCGTGGAAAATGATCACTAAATATGGCTCTTCACTAATTACGCAGTCGTTTAAATGAGCAGGTGCCAAACCAAACGGAAACTAGTAAGTGCCTGGAGCAAAGGAACCATTAGCAAAGTCAAAAGTGATGACTGAAAACACGCATCTAAACTTTGATGTGAGCTAATTATGTTGATTTTCACTCCACGAGTAGCTAGCTTTAATGCAGTCATTAATGCACTGTGCTATTTGATGTTCTCTGTAAAAACTTGAGTCACACCTAGTGTTGATTTTTAAATGTTGTCAAAAGAGTTCTAAGTTTGGTTTGATTTTCGCCTTTGATGATCCAAAGTGAGACGCATCTTTGGTCGAACTTGCAGTTCCGACACGGCTAACAAACCGAACTGTGCCTTGTGTTCTGTGGTGAAGGGCTTTCGGCTCCAAAATTGTGCGTGGGTTTCGCTCTTGCGTGTGCGTAATATTTGACTGTCAACTAGCCGTAGCCAGAATATTCCCAATCGCCTGGTTCTAGCTCCGTGAGAAGTACTCAAGGACGAGGCGGAGGTGTCCCAGGCGGTCTTTGAGAGAGGTCAGGGACAGGAAGGTGGTCTGGTAGGCAGGGTCGAGCTGAAGGACGGACAGCAGCCACCAGCACCACGCTGGACCATTGGTCGAGCCCTAGAGAGTGATGATAACGTTACAATTCAAGTATTTACCACACCAGTGCATCAGAACTTTAAACATAATCCACAGAAAACCAGAAGTTTTATATTTCGTCCGAGTTTATGCACGATTACAAAGGCCTGTGAAATTATGACATCTGAATTTTTACTTAATAATCAATGAATCGGATCTATATTTTTGGTAATATCAAGGGAAAACATCTATTATTAAAATAATTTAGTCACATTCCACTTTTCAAGCTTAGATTTATGTTCTGCCTGTCCTGATGTTGCACACTCCTTCAATTTTTTTTAATAAAACAAAAATTCTAAACTAATGTTATGGTGTTCATGTTCATTTATACTTCTCAAAATAGGTCCAACATAAAAATATTAGTAAAAATCTGAACATATAAAACTGATGTTGAGCTACAGAAAAAAAATCCCCATTCGGGAAATTCAGTTGGGATCTGACCAAAATCAGTGGGCCTCAAAAGGCCCCTGGGACACACGTTGGGCATGCCTACCAAGAAAGAAAGATAGAAAATGTACCTTCTATTAAAGTACAAACCTGAACGTCCTCGTCCTTCTCTGGCATGCTGCCGTGCTGTCTGTTTATCTGCTCGCGGATGCGTCCGCCCAGACGTTGATACCAGTCTTGAGCCTGCTGGTACACGCTGTCATGGAGATGCTGCAGAAGCTCCAGATCACTACCGTCCACCTGAAAAGACAGACTGACCGTCAATGAAAGCACCCAGCTTTATCAGGCTCAGGTGTGTATCTTTTTTCAGTTCTAGGAGAACTTGAGGTGTCCAAGATGCCGACCTTGAGGTCTTCCAGGTACTCGATGTCGGCGGTGTGGTATCCATCCCTCTGACTTCTCTTGAGCACTCTGAACCTGTTGCCACCAACAGTTTCCACATACGATCGTCCATCAGGCAGCAACTCCAGACCGAGGATTTCCAACATACAGCCATAGTCTGCAAATCTGAGCAACACAAATAAAAAATATCCTTAATTTTTTTTTATCTTCTATTGAAATGTAATGTGATCTAAGTTACAACAGGCAACACAAACTAATGAAGCCACCTGTAAGTGGAAGTAAGAGAAATAAAAAGCTGTCAACTTTTTGTATATTACATTGTTGTGATTTCATGAAGAACATTTTAACAAACTCATCAAAGGAAGTAAAACAATTATAACAACGTTAGAAAAATTGTAAAGAACTCATGGTAAATGTTAGGAATATGACCGATGATGATGAAATGACTAAAAACAGACTGGCCAGAATAATCGGAGACATGTCTGATGTAAGGCCGGCCTACGTACCATCTGCTAAGCTAAATTCTGTCTTAAGTAAATTTATAATCGCTATAAATAAATGACTTTATATGGAAAAGCTTTCGAAGCTATCAAAAGTTCCTGTGCAACATCTTCCATTTGGATCAGTGATGACAGTTTCGGTCTAGGTCACACCCTCCAACATCTGATCAATCAAACGATTCCCACACAATATAGGCTAACGGCTCCTCAGGGGGTATGGAGGGGTATTCATAGGTAGTTTCAGCTTGTTGTGGAACTACAGACAGCTACAGTTTATAAACTTGACCCTCCCATATTCCAGTCAGAACAGACAAAGTTGAAACCAAAGAAGTTGTTGCTTCCAGCCATAATCTCGAAAGGTGTGATACATTTTTCTGCCTCTAGATGGTGTCCTCTGAGAAAAACTCCAGATTTACGCTTTAATCCCAGAAAAACTTATGGGTCCCGGAGCAGTACACTGTAATTTAACCAAACCTCATTGTTTTCCTTCCCATCAAAGCCACTTTCGGAGCCAAATGTTTTATTTCATTGTCTCTTCAGTGAGGCCTTTATTGCCTTTTTACATAGTTTAGGGGACTCATCTTACTTCCACAGCTGAGAACTAAAAAATTACTATACAGGTCCTTCAAAAAAAAAAAAAAACTGCGTGCTGTGATAAAGTTCATTATTGTCTGTAATGTACTGATAAACATTAGACTTTCATATATATTAGATTCATTACACACAACTGAAGGAGTCCAAGCCTTTTATTGTTTCTAATATTGATGATTGTGGCATACAGCTCATGAAAACCCAAAATTCCTATCTCAAAAAATTAGCATATTTCATCTGACCAATAAAAGAAAAGTGTTTTTAATACAAAATAAGTCAACCTTCAAATAATTATGTTCAGTTATGCACTCAATACTTGGTCGGGAGTCCTTTTGCAGAAATGACTGCTTCAATGCGGCGTGGCATGGAGGCAATCAGCTGAGGTGTTATGGAGGCCCAGGATGCTTCGATAGCAGCCTTAAGCTCATCCAGAGTGTTGGGTCTTGCGTCTCTCAACTTTCTCTCCACAATATCCCACAGATTCTCTACGGGGTTCAGGTCAGGAGAGTTGGCAGGCCAGTTGAGAACATTAATACCATGGTCAGTAAACCATTTACCAGTGGTGTTGGCACTGTGAACAGGTGCCAGGTCGTGCTGAAAAATGAAATCTTCATCTCCATAAAGCTTTTCTGCAGATGGAAGCATGAAGTGCTCCAAAATCTCCTGATGGCTAGCTGCATTGACCCTGCCCTTGATAAAACATAGTGGACCAACACCAGCAGCTGACATGACACCCCAGACCATCACTGACTGTGGGTACTTGACACTGGACTTCAGGCATTTTGGCATTTCCCTCTGCCCAGTCTTCCTCCAGACTCTGGCACCTTGATTTCTGAATGACATGCAAAATTTGCTTTCATCTGAAAAAAGTACTTTGGACCACTGAGCAACAGTCCAGTGCTGCTTCTCTGTAGCCCAGGTCAGGCGCTTCTACTGCTGTTTCTGGTTCAAAAGTGGCTTGACCTGGGGAATGCGGCACCTGTAGCCCATTTCCTGCACACGCCTGTACACGGAGGCTCTGGATGTTTCTACTCCAGACTCAGTCCACTGCTTCCGCAGGTCCCCCAAGGTCTGGAATTGGTCCTTCTCCACAATCTCCCTCAGGGTCCGGTCACCTCTTTTCGTTTTCTGCCACACTTTTTCCTTCCCACAGACTTCCCACTGAGGTGCCTTGATACAGCACTCTGGGAACAGCCTATTCGTTCAGAAATGTCTTTCTGTGTCTTACCCTCTTGCTTGAGGGTGTCAATGATGGCCTTCTGGACAGCAGTCAGGTCAGCAGTCTTACCCATGATTGTGGTTTTGAGTAATGAACCAGGCTGGGAGTTTTTAAAAGCCTCAGGAATCTTTTGCAGGTGTTTAGAGTTAATTAGTTGATTCAGATGATTAGGTTAATAGCTCGTTTAGAGAACCGTTTCATGATATGCTAATTGTTTGAGATAGGAATTTTAGGTTTTCATGAGCTGTATGCCAAAATCATCAATATTAGAAACAATAAAAGGCTTGAACTACTTCAGTTGTGTGTAATGAATCTAATATATATGAAAGTCTAATGTTTATCAGTACATTACAGACAATAATGAACTTTATCACAATAGAAGGACCTGTAAAGCTTCCGACAGACAGACAACAATAGGATACTAATGAGTAGGCAGGTACTTTATAGCAACCTTTGTTTTTGTTAAGATTGGTGAAGTTTATGCGCATCTAGGTTTGCACATCTCTGCTTCAGTTCAACGAGGTTTTCAGTCGAGTGATTCTGGTTTTCTTAACAAATAAATTTCACTGGAAAAATGTATATAAAAAGAAAGGTTATCTAAGATGGAGCCTTGAGGTACTCCACGGTGAAGAGAATACAGAGTGGCTAGCTTCTCTAGCTGGACAAACTTCCACCAGTAACAGTTGAGGTCAAACATCTCCTCTGTTGGGAACCATCTGCTTAAAGCTTTCCTACCTCTCTCACAAATCACATCAGCTTAACAGATTATACTTGGCTGGTCCAGTTACATCCCAGTTTGTAGGTTCAACTTCAGCTAGCTGGGTGTGAATACTGTCACTTTGATGCTGAAATTCAGTTTGCACTTCACACCATTTTCTGCAAACATCAAGATCCCATAGAAAAAATGATGCATCTCCTATTTGCAAACGTTAGAATTTTTTTTTCTTAAATTTTAAATGTATTTAGAAAATGACTAAACATCTCTTATAGAAATATTTAAGAGAAAAATCGTCCCTGAATTCTGTCTGTAGTTATTTCCCAAAAACCATCAAGTTAATTGTTTTAAATGTCCTGTAAATTAATAAAGTATCTTTGATTTGATTGATTAAATGAGTTTTATTCCAGTAGATTTAGAGTGAAAACAGCTGTTTGGATTGTAAAGGTCACAGACCTCTGATCTAACCGAATATAAAGCAGACTCCTTTACCCTTTGCCGTGCTCGTAGCTACACATGCCAAACGTTTTGGTGCCGGTCTCCATGCAGCGACGCATCATCAGCCGATATCGAGGCTCAAAGATATGCAGCGGGCACGGCACTCCAGGAAAGGCCACAGTGCAGACGAAGATGGGGATGTCCTTGGTGAGGCTAGAAGAAAACAAGCTGAAACCTTAAAACGTACGGGACAGCAGTAGGTTTATAAAATGATCTTGTTAGATGCTTACTTAGAGAGCTCAGCCATCTCTGCATCATGGACCTGTTTCCTCTCAGCCAACTGGGAGGGAAACAGATGGGTCACGATGGTCTGAATCACTACTGTGGGGTTGTACTTCCTGTTTCGTAAGTACTGAAAGCACAAGGTAATAAAGACGACAGAAATGTTAATATGAAGAAGATACTTCGGCAAACTCTTCAGTATGTCAATAAAGAGCTGATCAGGCTAGGATTCTTGTTTGACTGTGAAATATAACACCAGCTAGCGGTAATGGAAGTTTCTGTGTCGGTATTCTGTTTTATGAGATGTTATCAGCTGTTGTGACAGTTGTAAGAAACGAGGCTTTTGTTTACCTGAAATAAATCTGTTGATCTGTTGCACAATTTCCATAAACAAATAAAAATAACGTCTGCCTTGGAAAGGAGCAGACTAGTGCACCTTTTAAAAGGTAGCACCATCTACTGGTGAAATAGGGTTACTGCATCTCCATTTAATCAGTTTAGCAAACCTTGGGGGAAAAAAAAGCAAAAATGTTGACAATCCATTCTACATCATCGGCTGCATTTATGGTTTAGATTATTTTTCTTTTTAAAAAAGTCCATAAGATATTTGTTGTTTAGTCTCACTGAAGCCAAACAGGTCGGATGTAGGTTGAGTACACTCACGTTTCTAATCCTTTCATCAGATTTATTTCACTAAAACATGTTTGTCAAACACGAGTTCAGCTCATGAAACTGTTTATCTACAAGTTTCTGTGTGTTGTGGTTAAACGTGTAGATTATGAAGATGACAACAGTGTATTAACGTTTGTTAGCCGTCACCTCTTCCAGGGGCTGTTTGCAGAGTGGACAGCGGACGTTGTGGTCAAGACTCCTCTCAACGCAGTTTTTGCAGAACGTGTGACCGCATGGAGTAGTGACCGGCTCAAAAAACAACCTGCAGGGAACAGAGATGCGATCAGACACAAGTGTGTGTGTGTGTGTGTGTGTGTGGTCTGTGAGTGTGCTATGTTTTGTAACAGATATAGGCCTGGTGTAGAAACAGTAGGACTACATTATGGGGAACAGGACACTGACCTGATACAGAGAGGGCACTCGAAGTCCGACACTGTGAGCACAGCCAGCGTTTTCCCCCTGTTAGCTTTACTTTCACCTGAAATGTTTTAAAAATCTAAATAAGTTTGAAGTTATGGAGTGTTGCAGGAAATTTTTAAGCAATTATAATAGAATGAAAGTCCGTTTATGATAGCTGTGCCCTCGAGCTACCTCTGCCGTGCCCTTCTTCCTTCCTCATCATCATCTCCTCATCCTCCTCAGCAGCAGGGAGGAAGGAGACAGCCTGGCAGAGGCTGAGGCAGCACTCGGTACCTGAGTCATGCTTCATCTAGGAGCCAAAACAACAAAATAATGTTTGATTTTGTTTATTTTTTGTCTTTACCTCCTCTTCTTACCCTGAGCTGTGGTTTACCTTGTGAACCTCTTTCCTCTCTGCGTGTGGATGCTGTTTTTCACCGTGCGCCGGCACCTGGCAGCCGCTCAGGGTGGTAATGTGGCACGGCTCTTTCAAGTAGTCGGACACCAGCTGCAAAACACAGGGAACTTCTTCTGGCACCGCTATTCCCTCCACCTCCAGGATCTGACACAAAAAACACGACCGATTATGTTTAACGTGTACAACATGTGCTAATTAGCTAAGTGCTTTTTTATATTTTTACACTTTTTGTTTTTGAAAGTGCCTCGTGATTTTTATCTTGAGAGGCGCTATAGAAATGATACTTTCTTCTTCTTCTTCAGTCCTGGTGGGTCACTATCCTGCACGTTTTGGATATTTCCCTGCCTCGTCACACCTGATGTCAATGGTTGGATTACCTGCTCAGCATGTCCTAGAGATCTCCAGAAGCCCAATAAACAATCAGATAATCATTTAAATGAGGTGTACTGGGGGAAAATCTAAAATCTGCACTGATGTCTGTCAGAAGTGGGCATCAAGGGGGAATCTTAAACTGAAACAATGTAGTGTTTCATGTTTTTGGAAAAAAGAAAGACATATGAACTAGGGATGCACCGATGGATCGGCATTTGATCCCAATCGGCCGATAGCGCCCCTATCGGTTTTGATCGGAGTTTTCAAAATAGATCAAAGCAGACCGATCAGGTAGGGTTGTCACGGTAACCGGTGTAGCCGTAAACCCCGGTAAAAAAAAAAAGTTGACAATAATAATAACCATCTTGTTTTTAAAAAAACTATATTATCTCGGTGGGTTTACCGTGGCTGCGGTGTAGGCGCGGTGACCCTTACCAGCCACCGTATCTGCTGAAGTTGCCGTTGGCACATGCGCACTTTGATGTTTACAACCAAAACTTTCTTGAAGCTAAAGCTGAAATAATGGCCAAAGGAGGAGACGGCAGCGCTCAGGACATTTATTATCCCTCAGAGAAGACAAAGTGGGAAGTACGGGCATCTTTTGGATATTTGAAGAATGCCGAGGGACAGTTGATAGAAGACGGCTATCCTGTTTGCAGCACGTGCAGAAAAAGTGTCTGTGAAAGGCAGCAACGCTTCAAATCTCATGACATATCTGCGTGACCATCACCCACAACTCTACAGTCAACGCAAGGCAAGCTAACGTTAGCGTTTTAGCTAAAATGCGTGATCCGAGGATATGGGTTGAGGGAGAATGACACGAGTCGCTATATAAAGCAGCCGCAGCGCCGCTACCTGCATATAAACCGTGTCGCGGACACCGCCATGTTGAAATGACGCTATGCATTACGGGGCTCCCAGGGGCAGATAAGAGTTGGTCTCTCTCCGAGAATAATTATGAATTTAACAATGATTACTGCCTGATGACATTTTCCCACATCTGCAAAGCTCACTGGAAGGACACAAACCGAGGACAATATTTTCTTGATATAGGGTTTCTTACTCAAGTAAGGGTAAAAAAGTATCTGAGTAGAAGGCTACTTGAGTACTGAGTATCATCTGATCTACTATTTTTAAAATGATGACATCAAACAGACAAAAAATAAGAAGTTATGGGCAAATATTGGTATTTTAAAGACTAAAGGGGGAAAATGTAAACAAATAAACAACATAATTACAAAATAACACATTTTAGGCAAAATTTAGACACAAACTGAGGACAATATTTTCCTGATATCCAGGGTTTATTTAGTTGTGTGAAAATGTAGCACGTTTAAAAAAAATACCGCAATAATACCGAAAACTGTGGTAATTTTGGTCACAATAACCGTGAGGTTAAATCTTCACACCGTGACAACCATACAGACCATTTTAGATTAGGTTACATTTCCTTTATTCCCAGATTATGTAGTTTGTAGCACTCATTATAATGTTGTAGAAAATTTCTGGCCAATCCACGTGATCGGTGATCGGCAGCAAAAAACCTGATCGGTGCATCCCTAATATGAACCAGCGCTGTGGTGTTTTTACACATTTGGGTTGTGAATCTTACATATTTTCAGTTTGTGTGTTTTTAGCTTCTAAAGGACCAAAGTGTAAGGGCTAAATATGGACTAAACGTAAGAAGAGACATCATAGTCTAAATCAGAGATACAACTAAGATCGCTAGACCATAGCTTTCTTGCTCACAGATTTAGATTACGGTAACTCTTTTTATGCCGGTGAGCTAACGAGCTGCATGAACAGGAATTCACACCAAAGCCAGCCCAAACAGGTGAGCTTTCAGCTGCTTTTTAAAGGAGACCACTGAGTCCACAGAGTCTGGGGGCCACAGCAGCAGATGATCTGTCACCTTTGGTCTTTAGCCTGGTGCTGCACAACCAGTAGGCTTTGGTCACTGGACCTCAGAGGCCTGCTGGGGTTGTAGGGACTAAGAAGATCACCAATGTATGAGCAATGTTCCTAGAATATAAGAAGAAAACGAGTGAACAAGAGAACTGGCATGACAAAGGTCACACCAAGATTCCTAACAGAGGGTTTGGTGTAAATGGTAAAAATGGTCAGCGGTAAGCGCCTCGTGATTTTTATCTTGAGAGGCACTATATAAAAGATTGTTTTCTTTTTTTAAATGACCTGTACTTCACAATCAATCATCCACCAATTCACACACTGGTGGGGATGAGCTACGATGTAGCCACAGCTGCCCTGGGGCGCCCTGACAGAGGTACGGACTGCCGGACACTGATGCCACCGGTCCCTCTGACCACCACCAGCAGGCAAGGCAGGTTAAGTGTCTTACCCAGGGACACAACAGCAGCCTCCTCTGGTCAAAGCCGGGATCGAACCTGCAACCTTCCGATTACTGCCCCACCTGGTGTGAGAAGGAAGCTGACCAAGAGAGTCTCTGACTTTGGGAACCAGCATGTCGGGGGCACAGATGAAGATCTCAGTCTTATCTTCATTCAGCTGTAGAAAGCTCCCAGCCATCCAGGTTTTGATAGTCAGGTGTGTAACAGCTGCAGCTTAGACATCTCATGGGGCTTTAAGAAGAAGGTTGGATGTCTTCTGCATAAAGATGGAAGGAGTTCCTTCAAAATAGTTCAGGATGTGCTGGAGAGGGAGCAGAGAAGGTAGAGGAACACTAGAGTCCCCAGCACAGAACCTTGTTGAACACCCAAAAGGGTTCAAATGAAGGCAACTGGACTTCTTTGGTTTCTTGAAGACATTTTGCTTCTCATCTGAGGAGCTTTGTCAATTCTGACTGGAATATGGGAGCGTCACCATGGACAACATGGATGTGGGATGTGGAAGACTGAAACTTGGAGACAGCCACAGAGAAGGAATGCTCAGATAGATATGAGAACCACTGTGGTGCAGTTCCTGATAGGCCTTCCCGGTCTCTCAGCCTACCCAGTAGTAGGGGATGGTCAGTGGTGTTAAAAGCTGCTGGTAGTTCCAGCAGAACCCGAACAGAATATGTTCCTGCATCACTGTGAGTCTGAAGGTTATCGGAGACCCTAAAATGAGCTGTTTCAGGAGAATGACCTCCATGAAGCTAACCATTCATACCCAATAAAGTGCACATGATGGCTAACTTTTATCTAATTGTCAGTGAGGTGTTCTTTTAGCAAGGTGAACAAACCTTCTTGATCTGGCTCTTGGCAGGAACAAAGTCAGCTTGAAGTTTTAGGCAACGGTGGAAGTGGAGGAGGGCTTCTTTCTGCTGACCCAGTTCCTGCAGCGCATTCCCTTTACGAAAGAAACCCTGCACAAACACAGCATGGTGATCAGCACAACACTGCCTGCATGCAACATACAGCATTGAGTGTGATGGCATCACGTTAAAGTTCATATGAACGATGATGTTATTAACACTTTTTCAATCTCTAATTGTGTCTCGGTCGAATTGTTGAGCTAACAAAGCGACAATAACACCTCTGTGAATAAAAAACTATTTAACCTTTAACAGTACCAGCTGCTGAACATTAAACAACATTATGACACAAGTAGCTGTTTGCATAACGTTGTGAATGACATAACGAAAATGAAAGCTGGGAATTTTCCCTCTACAGGAGGGCCTCAGCGAGCCAGGGCAGATTCTGGGCCGTTACATACGTGCAAGTGCAGGGCTAAAAAAGAAGCAGCTGATGGGTTCACAGTCAGGAAATACTCACACAGAGGAGAGCTGAACTATTAGAGATGAGCTAATAGAGCAAGTCTGTCAGTGTCATGAAAACATGTTATGATCTTAAACGAACAACCTTTGTGGGGTTTTTTGTGCTTTTCTCTCCTCCGGCTAAAGCTTTAACCCATTTTGAAGCTTTGCAAGTAGATATTTAATATGAATGTCAACAGATTAAATGCACTGAGGTCACTACCTTTAAATTTACCCCTCTGGAGCCAGGCGCTGCAGATTAGCAACGTTAAAACCTACCTACCTGGTTACACCACATACATATTTCATGAGCATTTTTTAACTCAGAAGTTCCCGTGAAGGACTTAGTTGTTCGTCCTTTTATCAAAACTTATTTTGAGCCTGAGAGGGTTAAGTGAGAAATGAAAAACATCTAAAATAAATAATTCCCACCATTTCCTCCATAGACCACAGTAGTGTGTTGCTTCGTCAAGCCTAAACCTAACCTGTGCAATCTTATCAAACACGACAACAATAAAGGTTCACTTTAGCTCCCGTGGTCACCATGGTAACCACAGAAAAGGTACAAATGCAGACACACAGAAAAACAAGTTTATGTCAAAAAAACTGGACCTTAAACAAACAGCTGCTGTGTCAAAACAATACATCTTGACTAAGATTGTCTTAAACTGAGAGGCAAAAGTTCAGGTAGTCCAATGTTTGGATTGCTGTGGCTCGTTAGTGTTTTACATAAAAAATATGGCTGTCATGTTACGAGGTTTGTAGGACCCGCTCAGCAGCTCATCAGACTCTGCAGAAGCCTGATGAGCTGCTGATTGAAATCAGGTGTGTTGAAGCAGAGCTGAAACTAAAATATGCTGGATATACCGGCCCTCGATGAACCAGGGTTCCCCACCCCTGCCTTAATATAAAAACGGTGACAAGCAAGCTCTCATTAGCTTACCATGCTAACCAAAGTGAATCTTATTCATGAAGTTATTTCAACACAAGCATGGAGTACCTTCACAAAATATACTCTCATAGTGTGACAGGTGGTATGTGTTTATTGATCAAACATAAACATGACTTTAAATAAACAATAAAGGTGCTCATCAACAGCTGCCTAGGCAAGACACTACATAGTCATTGGCCAGAAGCCATCAGCAACAGAGAACTTAGGAATAAACCAAACCTGCTGCCCACAATAGAATAGAATAGAATAGAATAGAATAGAATAGAATAGAATGTATTAAACCCACAGTGGGGAAATTCACTCGTTATAGCAGTACATACACTTAGAGAAAAGGACGAAAAAGAAATAATAACAAAAGTACAGGTAAATACACAAAGGTGGTCAGCTACTATTGTAACCGTCAAACACTAAAAACAACAAATAAAAATAGAAAACTGGCTTTCCAAATATATCCTGCACAAGTGACACAGACATACTAAAGTACATCTGATATTTTACAAGTATCGAACACATACAGAACATTGCACTGATGTTGTTGTGTAGCAGGATAATGCCAGTACCAGTTAAACTGAGGAGTTATACACTCTTACAGCAGAGGGGATGGATGACCTACGGCAGTGTTCTGTTTTACATCTTGGATGTCTCTGTCTGCCTCTGAAGGAGCTGTCCATGGTCTCCATGGCGGAATGCAGTGGGTGGGAGGGGTTTTCCAAGATGGAGGTCAGCTTCACCACCATCCTCCTTTCACACATCTGCTTGACAGAACCCAGTGAGCAGCCCAGAACCAAGCTAGCTTCTTGAGCTAGCTTGTTCCATTTCTGCCTGCACCAGACCATAACAGAGTGAATCACAGAGCCAACAGCAGAGTGGTAGGAGGATTTTAGGAGCTGGGAATTAACTCTGAAGAACCTCAGCCTTCTCAGGAGGTGGAGGCGGCTTTGGCCCTTCTCATACAGAGCATCTGTGTTGTTGGACCAGTTCAATTTACTGTTGAGGTGAACACCCAGGTACTTAAAGGTATTCACCACATCAATCTCTGCACCCTGGATGTTTACTGGTGAGTTAGGAGGTGTGTTTCTCTGGAAGTTATTCACCATTTCCTTTTCTTACTGGTTACACTCACACCAGTCCACAAAGTCCATGATGACTGACCTGTACTCAAGGTCGTTCCCCTGAGACACACTGCCAACAATGGCCGAGTCATTGGAGAAATTCTGCAGGTGCTGGTGTTGTAGGTGAATTCTGAGATGTAGAAGGTGAATAGAAAGGGTGAGAGCACCGCACCGTGCGGAGCTCCCGTACTGCACTCGACCAACTCAGACATACAGTTGTGCAGCCTCATGTACTGTGGCCTGTTGGTGAGGTAGTTGATGGTCCATGCAGTCAGATGTTCGTCCAGTCCTGTAACCCTCATCTTCTGCTGCAGTAGAGAAGGCTAGATGGTGTTGAAAGCACTTGAAATGTTGAAAAACATGATTTTCACAGGGCTCTTTTGCATCTCCAGGTTAGCCAGCACTCATTGATAGGAGGTAGAGGAGGGCGTCCTCCTCCCCCATGTTTGGTTCATGTTTGGTAAAGGTGGAATGAAGTAAAAGTGACACCCTGTTGTCAAATTTGGGTACTACAGACTACTTTTATAAACCAAAAGGAGACTGGGGGTGTTTCTCAATGCCAAGGAACCTTCCCTTGATGTCTTGGCCCCGCCCCAGTTGGCTAGGAGATACGTCATCGGGAGCCGCCAAGACGTGTTCCAATGTTCATGTTCTACCGAGGCATGTGTTTTCCATTTGTTAGCCGTTTAGCTAGCTGAGCGAGGATACACGGGTGGTGTCTTGTAAACTAGCCTTGGTCAAAAATTACCCAGAATACACTGCAGTATTTTCTAAAGGACGGCGGATCAGAAGCCGGCAGCTTCTTCGGGGACAATTTTCAAGTTGAAAAGTAAGTCAGCTAAATAAAAAAATATATTTTTTAATCCAAATAAGTTATCTATTGTTGGTTAGTTACTTAGTAGTTGCAGCTTTGTTGGCTAGCGGGTAGTAACTCACTTATATATTTAATTTAATAAACATATAAAATATAACATTATCTCCCATGTCACGTGACCGTACGTGACCGCCGTGGAAGCCGCGGTCACGTGATGCAAGTCTGTTCCATTTAACTGTTTTCTTTGACCAAGGAAGGACAGTGTCCTTGTAAGCAAGGCGCCTGGCCTCGCAAGATATCGCCTCGCAAGATGTTAAGATGCCTGGCCTACCAAGGCACTGCCTTGAGGGGTGCTTAAAAGAACACTGTCCTTCCTTGTTCAAAGAAAACAATTAAATGGAACAGACTTGCATCACGTGACTGCAGCTCTGGGAGCCACAGGCATATCACGTGACATGTGAGGTAAAGTTATATTTTATACACATACATTTCAAAATAAATAAAGAACAAGGCTTTTACTTTTTAAATTGTGTATATATTGCTCAAATTAAATATGTACGCGAGTTACTACCTGCTAGCTACCAAAGCTGCGACTACTAAGCAACTTACCAACCATAGAGGACTGCTTTGCATCTAAAAAAATATATTTTAGATATACAGTAAGCTGGAAGTTTGGCCCTGAAGTAGCTGCTGCCGGCTCCTGATCTGCCATCCTTTTGAAAATACCGTGCTGTATCCTGGGAATTTTTTTTTACCAAGCGAAGGCAAAAAGACACCTTCCACGTATCCTTGGTCAGCTAGCTAAATGGCTAACAAACAGAGGACAGGCATCTCGCTAGAACATGAACATTGGAGCACGCCTTGGAAGTTCTTGATGACATATCTCCTAGGCAACCGGGGCGGGGCCAAGGCATCAAGGCAAGGCTCCTTGACATTGAGACACCCCCCCACCACCTTTCCGTGCCCCTATGGACAGCAATCAAAGCGTAAGTCTAGGGGTGATCATGCCTTTGCGGTTCTGGGTCCTCGGCTTTGGAACCAACTCCCACAAGAAATCAAAGAGTCCACATCGCTGCCCACTTTTAACCCTTTGATGCATAATGGTCCCTACAGTGGTACTCAAAATTGTTGTTTTTTTTTTTTTTTGCTATTAAGCACAGCTGTTGAAGACTTTATTGCATGTGAGCCCCTCCATTTGGACTTCAGTAAGCCAACATATTTCATGTTCAGAATGCACGCTGTCCACTGAGGTGGACATGTAATAAATTATTAGTAAATTATTAAATGTTAGAAAAAATATTTGTTGAATTTGTTTCATTCACACCTAAAGATGAATGAAAAAAATTGTTACAAAAATCATGGTTGAAGATTTCATAATTCATGCGTCAGAGGGTTAAAGCAAGGCTTAAGCTTATTTTAGATCTGTTTCTCAGTTATTTCTATTCACATTTTAATGTTTTTGATCACTCTTCTTATATTGTTTTAAGCTCTCTTTTTTTGTTTGTTTGTTTTTAAATGTTTTTATCTCAGTTTTTTATTATAGAGCTGTTTAATTGTGCTGCTTCTTTGCACTATGTCCAGCACCTTGATTGGGTGTGGGAAGGGGCTTTATAAATAAAATGAACTTGAACTTGAACAAGGCTGCTGCTGGTTTCATGTCTGAGCTTTATGACTCCAAAAGGGACCTGATTTGCATTTTGTTTTTGTATTTAATCTACACTGCACTTCTTCTGCTACTAAAAGTCATTACACCAGTTTTCGGCTTGACACATACACTTTGATGAATTTTTGCAGTTTTTTCCAGAGCAGCAGGATGAGACATGAACTGATAATCAACACAGGTAAGAATAACAGGTGAATATAAGCTGACATAATCGTTATTAGGGCTGCACGATATTAGGAAAGCCTGCAATATGCGATGACAGTGATTAATATTGCGATGATGATATTATGTGCGATAAATAAAAACTCAACTCCGGAACTAAAATAATCAAAATCAAAGAAACAAAAATGAATGACAAAAAAAATCATCACAATGAGAAAAACAAAAATGTGAGGAAATGGAAAAAGAAAATGAGCAAGAAAAGGCGATCAGTGGATCCTGGGAAAAGCAGAATCAGCAGAAAGAGCAAAACAAAGCTAACTCAGGTGTTTGCTAACCATCAAAATTAAGGGCGGACATCTGACCAATGAGAACCCACCCACTTGGACAAATGGGTGAAGAGCTCTATTTGATTGGTTAAAAAACACCATGCTTACATTTGCTTGACAGAATGCGTTATGCGTAGCAAACATTTGAGCTGACCGTTCATTACGATATTTATCTGTTCTTTGCGATATGCACATTGCACGTGCCAATATCGCGATAACGATATATTTGCGATGTATTGTGCAGCCCTAATCGTTATCAGAATCAGATTAGGTTTATTGCCATTTTCAGTGAACAAACAATTCACAAACTAGGAACTTGCTTCGGTACTAACGTGCTATATATATAACATGAATAATATAATTAAAAATAGAATAAAGCAGAATAAAATATAATAAACTAGCATAAAAACTTTGCTATAAAAAAGGCAGGTAATGGTAATATGGCCGATATTATGTCAGGTACAGAAGACGAGCATGATTGTGTGTTTATAAGCTGTTCACAAGTCTAACGGCAGATGGAAAGAAGCAGTCCTTATGGCGGGAGGTTCTGGTCTGGATGGACCGTAACCTCCTGCCTGAGGGAAGCAGCTCAAAAAGTCTGTGACCCGGGTGAGAAGGGTCAGCTGCTATCCGGCCTGCACGCCCCCAAGTTCTGGAGACGTACAAGTCCTGGAGAGATGGAAGGCTGCAGCCAATCACCTTCTCAGCAGAGCGCACAATGCACTGCAGTCTATTTTTGTTATAGACCTTTATAGACCTTTAATGCAACAACTGTGACAGCGGAAGACACCTAATAGTGAGGCAAGATGCATCTACAGCTTGTTCTTTTCTCACCTCTGTCCAGTTGGGGTGAAGGCAGCAGAGGTAGTCAAGGTCCGTCAGAGCGTCGGAGAAACGCAGCAGGCCCAAGTTAGCCTCGGCTCTGTAGAGCTTCAGACCCAGATTGTCTGGGACTGTAATAAAAAGGAGAGAGGGAAAAATGAATTTTGTGTCATTGAACTGTTTGCAGAGACAGAAATAGCCTGCCTTTATTTACAGAACCGTAAAACAATGCTTGAAAGTTGGACATGCATGCCAGTCTGACAGGGTGAGTGTTACCTAAAGCTGTTACACAAGTCATGCTTACATAGAACGGACCTGCACCTGACTCAGCGAAATGCTCTTGTTGGAAAAAAATTAGCTAGGGAGGAAGACAAAAGATACAGGTCCAAGCTTCAAAACAAATAAAAACGTCCTGCAGAGATGTGCCAGGGCTTTGTTACATAACAAGCTGCCATTCTGGACTGAGTACCAAGAGGGGGTAGCGGTCTTTACAGTAATTGAATCTACAAGGATGGCAAGCATCAAAGTAATGCAACAGCTAGCTAAACCACCGCAACACAAACACTCCCACAAACCCTGACTCCAGCAGTATGTCTGCAGCTGCTGCAGGAAATTGGGTTATTGTGCATTTAAAGAGGAAATGGTGGAGGATGCAACTGCACACGCCAAATATTTCAGATTTCTCTGAAAACAGCCTGCAACAACAACAACAACTCATTTTTACTCAGCTTGAGGACACTGTGTCCAAGTCATCAGCTGTCAGTGCTGTTTTATGTGTCATGCTGTGTGTGGCTGACTGGGACAGACGGGAACATGTTACTGCTGGTTCTTCCTCTGCATCCTCCTTCTGTTGCACAAAACCTCAATTAAAATCTGTACTTTACTGATCCGTGACTGAAACCGTAAACAGCTGGGAGCTCGTGTGCATGGAAAAGCAACTGTGACTGTAGTAGTGGATCAGTGCAGGGCAGGTGAACGGGTGCTCACCTGAGTGCAGCCCCTCGTTGGCCACGCGTAAAGCTTCCGCGAACTCGTTGGCTTTGAGCTTCTCTTGGATTTGGCACCTGACTTTGGTCCCGTCGGGGTGGCACTTCTCCAGCACGCCGATGAGCAGTACGTTGTTCTTCGTGCCACCCACCTCCTTGGGTTTTAGCCTCTCTTTGCAGAGCGGACATTTGCTGGGGAGGTAGCCCTCCACGCACCTCCGGCAGAACGTGTGGCCGCACGACACGCTCACCGGCTCGCACATCAGGAAGAGGCAGTGCGGGCACTCCAGGAGGTCCATTGGGTCTGGCAGCTGAGCGACGGGGAAGCGCTGCTTCTTTTATTCTCCCGTTTCTCTTTTAAATATGTAACCCTCGCTTTGTTCGTCAGAGAGCAACAAAAGGTTCTGTGTTTTGGTTTTACACGGTCCGTTCACAAACCATACTGCGCGGTCTCCGTCTAGCTGGGCACGGTTGGCCCCCTTTACCTGTCAAATTCACTTTTAAAACAGGAGATCATTGATGCCGTCGTTCCGAGCCTTGGCTCGGTCTTCGGTTGGACACAAGCATCTCCCCGACTATGCAGGCAGGTTAAACGGACACAAACTCCGTCCTGCTTCCCTCGACGCTCCAAATAAAAAATAATAATGTTTTGTTATTTCCGGCCAGTGGCTTTTGTCCGCTTTTAAACCCCGTACGGACGTTATCAAAGCCACGACGCTGGGTTACAGTGTAACCCCATTACGTTACATAAATAAAAGTCACGTGGCGAAGCAGCGCGCGCTGTGATTGGAGGAGAGGATGGCTTTCAGCCCTGTTGTGAAACGCAAGGATCCCGAGTTTCGTAACATAATTTCTGCCTCTGAACTCTTTTATTATAAACTAAACAAATACAGTAAACACGTGACCGGAGGTGAAACCAACAGGAGTGTTTAGTAACGGCTCCTAAGGTCCTCATTTCTCTATTCTCTCGTGGCGAGGGGAAACCCAACCGCGGGTCAGGGGGCGTGGCGGAGGGTTCATGACGTATATTAATCTATGGCATTAACAATCAATACAGGTAAACAAGACATAAATTCTACGTAACATTGTCATGCTGAAAATTAAACTGCATTTACAGCCCTATAATTTAAAAACATGTTTTAGTTATCACCCACGATCTAACTGGCCAGCTCCAAAAGTATTATATCCGAGAGGACTATAAAACAGAAGCTGACAAACATGTTATATACAACACGCACGTGACTGACGTAATTACTCCAGAATGCACACAACTGACATAACTACTCCAGATATACATTTAAATAGTAGTGATGGGAATTACGGCTCTTTTTAGAGAGCCGGTTATTTTGGCTCAGCTCACCAAAAAGAGCCAGCTCTTTCGGCTCCCAAGTGGCTCCTCAGATTTTCTGTTGCTTAGAGTACATTTATAACCAAAATAATGCTAAACTATGTGTAAAATGATTTACTAATGTAAAAAAATGCTATATATCAAATATTTACCATTTCTATGGATTTAATAACTGAACACTTTCAGAAATCTCCACTATCCGACTGCTGGCGCTCATTTTCTCTGTCTTCATCACACTCTCCTCTCTCTCGCCCTTTTCCTCCTCCTCATTCCCTCTCGTCTCCCTCCGCCCGCATGTGCTCTGCTGTGTGTCTGAGTCTGATCCTCCCTCTTCCCCACCCCTACTGCTCTGTGTGTGGACAGTCTGGACACGTAGTTACACATGTTGACTAATCGCCTGCAGCTTTCACCAAAGCAAAAGGGGAGGGGGGAGGGGAGGGCTCCCAATGACGAGACGGCTCCTGTCGTTCACTTCAAAGAGCCGGCTCTTAGAACCAGTTCGTTCGCGACCGACACATCACTATTAAATAGGTTTTATTTGAATTTTTATTGGAAAAATAGTGTATGTATAAAGTATCACATGTACAGACGACTGACAGACGTAAACCTATCAAATGTCACCTTTCAATTCAGCACACCCCAACCCTAAACTTGTCTACATTGCATTACATTTTAAAAGAAGGCAGAATGACTTAATTAAATTTTACTCAGGTCTCTGATGAATCAAGCTCTTTGATATGCCGACTAGCTAAAGGATCTACGCATCTACCGCTAATGCATAATCAGCAAACCACAGCGTCAGAATTAGCAACAAATTCTTAACAAAAGCACTTTGTGTTTATGTGGAACCATATTAGATCATCGTTTTTGTGACGGCACTAAACTCCTGCTGCGGTTTCAAATGGATTTATTGAGCCCAGTGAACACAAAGATCTGTATAAGATTTAAACGCTAAGGAAATATTTACAAGTACATTTAGTTGAATTTGAAAAGAACATGTACAAATAATAGTATTTTTATCCCACACAAAGTATTTCATGCTGAGTGAAAAGTAAAAACATGCATGTGCTGTAAATCTTCATGCTATCTCATCTATTATACTACACATGGCAGCATCCTTGTCCCATGTTTTGTCTGTTTTTGAACTTGGGACATTCTTGTCCTGATCATCTGCAGCCATGCAGCTGGCGCCCGTGTCCTCTACATCCATTGGTTCGGTTTTCAGAATGGGGGCCTGTCCAGAAGAACAACCAAAACTAGATCCAGCAGACACACTCTTGGTCCCAACACACACACCGTCTGTTACATCCGACTGGGGTAAGTCATCAGGTAGAGATGCAAGGCACCCCTGGATCATCTCCACCACCCTGTCCAGATGCTTCTGGAACCTCTCTGCCGTCTCCAGTCTCTGCCTCTTCTGGACCTCCATCATGACCCTCAGTGTTTCTCTGGCTTGGTGTGGCCTGTACTCGTTTATAAGATGATGCATGTGAACAAACAAAAGCTTCATGTCCTCCAGTTTCTCTTCACGCTTTATGCTGCCAGGACTCTTGATGAGAATGTCCAACAAGTCCAGAAAGTTCACAAGAATTGACATGTTTAGTTTTTTGAGCTGCCGCTTGTGGTCAAACTGCATTGGATGGAGCCTCTCGATGCCTTGGCTCTCCAGAGGTCGAATGATAAGGTCATCACACTGGAACTGGTTGCCAAACATCATGTAGCTGTCTCTAATGGGTGGAGGCGGCTTTGGGACCAGACCCTTGCGGATATTTTCATCTGTGTACTCTTTAATGTACTGCATAGGTGGTGGAGGCAGGGCGCTGACCTGCTGTGGTTCACCCATGATGCAGACCTGAAAGTATAGAAAAAGAAAAAACATTTATTAGGAATTCCAGGCACTATTAAAGATCAAGAAATGCCTAAATGAACTTTTTTTTAGCTGATAACCTGTACAGATGAGTGTCTAATAGTGCTGTAGACATGTGCAATTATCAGTGTGGCAGTTTAGTGCAACTTATTCTAAATTTAATATTTCAGCCCAAAACCATAGTTATATCTCCATCTTCAGATTAAAACTCGGCTCCACATTCATGTAGAACCAGCTGTGGCTGATGGCTAAGCTGAAAAACATGACGTTATCAGCTGATTACTACTACTACACAATACATTACAGCTACCTAATGAGCACAATAACTTATTAGGTAACAGCATATCGTGTAGAGCTCTGCATCAAAAGATATACACTATTACACATAACAGATTGTAGTAAAAGCCTGAATGCCCCTCATTTGTACAAATAAATACTGTTAAATGTAAACTGCAGTAACAAATAAAATGTTTTTATTATTGTTTGATTTACTTTTTGAGAGTTTCGATAAAAGATTCTCAAAATCCTTGTACATAAAATATATTTAAAAATTCGACAAACGTCATTCTCCCAATAACTGCAGGATTCTATCATTAGGCTGGAGGGGCAAATTCAATAATCAGCATACACTTCCAGTAAAGTGTTAGTCTAAAATCTAAACTAATGTGTTGCAGCACCAGTCCAGCACAAAACATTCAAAGCAAAACTAGATTCTGATGGGTTTTTAAGTTGCACCTACTGCTGTTGTTGGTAGGAAAAGTAGATATGAACTTAAAATGACACGTAAATTATAGTATACACACTACTGCTCATTTTGGCGTAAAACATTTGCAATCTAGTTTGAAGTAAAATTAGGCTTTATTAGCCATAGTTAATAATTATAGGTTTAATATCTGGCTGAAACGTTGTTCTTAGGTATTTAAGTAGTCAAATTCAACTCCTAGCACGCACCTAACCATTGAACCTTTGTCTTCTGTGTTACCTTTATTTTGTTACGGACTCAATGTGTTATTGACAAACACTACAAGCAGAACTACGTTAGCGTCACCGCTGCATTTTGTACAGAAACCTAGCTAACTATAGCCACCGCTAATCCCGGTAGTTCATTGGGCACGTCAAAAATGAAGCGAACTACATAAAAGGTAAATGAGAAGGGAGTAAATGTATTCATACCCACCTTAAGAACAATCCTTTAGAAACACAACATATACTTCTAATAATAACGTTAATCAAATATCGTTGGAAAATTATATCAGGGCTAACATAGCTTCTTCGATAAATGCAGAAAAGACCAGTCGTTTCTGTTTGATTTCTATTGGCTGAACTGTCCTCGTGATTGTTTTCCTAACGCTGATTGGGGTGCGGTCACAGAAAGAGCTCAACGCTGATTGGTAGAAATATCCGGAAGCACGTAAAAATTTGTTTTTCTTTTACTTTGTTCTTCAGAGGATCGATGGAAAAAGTACCGTTTGATGCCCAAACTGAACTGATTTTATACATGAAAAAGAAAAGTTACTAAAATATTCAGATAACTGTTGAATATTTTTGAATGAAAATACTAATTTTAAAGACATAAAAACAATAACCTGTATATTAATTCCTTCGGGTTCTCATTTTACAAACTATGTCAGTTATTGTTTGTTCTTTATGTTTATTTAGCAGACGCTTTTATCCAAAGCGACTTACAATTTATGACCTATAGGGCATGTTGTGATCTGTTTGTCCTCTTTCAGAATCTGCAGAAATCTATGAATTTTATCCTAAAATAATAATAATAAAAAAAGATGATTGTGATTTCTTATGTATGTGAAACACCTGCCACAAACAGAACGGTGTAAAAGGGTTGATATCGATATTAAAAAGAAATTGGGTTGATAATGACAAACTGAATTCTATTATTCTCTTGTGAAAAGATAGTGAGCAGCATTTTAATTCCTAATGTTCCGAACCGGTTTGCTCACTTTTATTTATTTACTCCTTGTCACCTAGATGAGTTTTGTAAATTTTTATGTGGCTTAAGTAGTTTTTACTCTTTACTTTAATCAAGAATTTAATGGACTGCATTCACTGTAAACAGTCTAAACTTCTCTGAAAAATAACAATATTTTGACGTGTAACCCCTAAATGCAATGACACGTTTAGAGAAAGAGAGATATTTCTTTATCTTAACTTTTTTCAGTGATGTTTTGTGTTTTGTTACTCATTTTATCTTCCCAATTGTTTAAAAAAGTACTACCAAAACCTGGATTTCTGCATTCACAGTCCTGCTTTGGGCTTAACTTGTTAATTCTCTATAACATTAGTGAAAGTACATGTGCAGGGTAGACATCTACAGTGTTTGTGCATCAAACAGTGTGTATTTCTGCTTGCGCAAATCATTTGTTGCCACAAGGATGTGGTTTACTGCCTGCCGCAGCTTCACGCCGGAAGCTCCACAGCATCTACGAAGTTTATCATCCACAACTTTGCCTTTTCTTCTTCTGACTCTGCGAGGCTCTGCTTGTGACAAAACCATTCGCAGACGCTCGCTGCGTTCTTCTTGACAATGTTCCCCAGGGTGATTTTGAGGGGAACCATGATCAAAAAATCCCAGCAAAAGAAAAGAACATCACCAAATAACTACAAAGAGAGGTTTTTTGTGTTGGACACTCAGGATCTGAAGTATTCGGAGTGCCGTCCGGGGGTAAGTCCACACGATTTTGTATTGAAATGTGGTTTTCTTAAAGTCACATTTTCTATGGCGTTGAATCTATGTGACACAGAGCGTGTTAATGTGTGCAGAAAAAGCCCATGTTGAAAGGTTGCATTCAACTGTCCAGGATTAGGTGTGTGGAGATTGTGTGCAGTGACATTCCCATACCTTGCAGCTACAAGTACCCGTTTCAGGTGAACATCATTATTATCCTTTAGGGTCACAAGGTCATTTCATAGTCATAAGAAGAAGAACATGGCATTTCTTCTGAGTAAAGGGTGAATAAAAAACGAAATAAATTCGAGTGTTGACTTTATTATATGAAGCACCTTTATTAATGCAACCGATGGATATTCCGAAGTTCTGTGCATAAAAGCAAAACATCAGAAGCAGAAAAGCACACCCAAATTCAATGAAAGGATGCACAAAAGCTGTGAAATGAACCAAAGGAAACAGGTCACTCTGTATTTTAACAGAAGTCTGATGTCCCTGCAGGTTTTCCATGACAACCATTACCTCTACATATTTGCTCCGGACAATGATTGTCGTCAGAGATGGGTCAGAGCACTGAAAGAGGGTAATTCTTATGTGAATGCACCATCAGATTACCACCAACCCATGTCACGAATCTGTTAATATTTGAAGAGTCCATCTGCAAAAGCAGACGAGAGCCACCAGCGATCAAAATCACCAAACGTTAGTTTCACTGATATCGCTTCAAGTAAAAGATGCATTCTAGGAACATTTGTGAAAATCGGTTCATCTGGGGTTTTTTTTTGCAAGTAAACTCTTCATTACTTCGTCTCAACCAAATGCATAAAACAGATGTTTGATTTCTTCAACCTAGAGACGAAGCACAATGAGTTGGTTCCAAAATTTCACCCAAACTTCTGGATGGATGGAAAGTGGCGATGCTGCCAACAGCACGAGAAGCTGGCAGCGGGTTGTCAGTTATACGACCCAGCGAGCTGTGGTTAGTATTTGTTGTCTTTCTTCTAATTGTCAAACGTGTGTTTTCACCAAAGATGGACCAAATATATATATATATATATATATATATATATATATATATATATATATATATATATATATATATATATATATGAATAGCATGGCTTTGCAGATAGCAACATAAAGTAACACACTGCACCAAAGTTCAATGACCTGATCAAGTCACGCACACACAAATAGCAAAAAATTGAAAATAGCGGCACGAGACAAAATTTTGCAATTATTTTCACATATAGTTGCAAATGAGGACAAAGCACCTTGTTTTTGTTGGTTTCTTCTGCTAAAAGGGGCGTGGCACCTGTCCTGGTGGTTCTGTTGTGTTTCTGTTCATTATAAGAAATTCCTGTGATGCTGTTGGGGCTAGTAAATTTAAAATTTACAAGATCAGAATCAAATCTGAACATCTGTTCATGTTTTCTTCAGCTAGTTGCTTTTTTTTCGGATAAAATTGCACGTGATAATCTGTCTTGTTGAGTATTTCTTTCGACTACATCTCCATCTACCAATATCTTACCACAGAGTTCCATATAACTTCTAAGAAAATTCTGCTGGTGCTTCAAAATTAAAGCCTCCAATTGTGCATTTCTGACTGTTTCTCACCACAGCTTCTAAAAAGCCTCTTCCTCAGATCCCAGTTCCAGAGGTAACGTGCTTTTGTTTATTAACATAAACTTCCAGATGTGCTTGTTGAGATATAAATCACTGATGTGAACTGCTCTGGCTGTGCTTGTGGTTTTGCTGCAGATCATTTATGTGTTGTGCATGCGCGCCTGGTGTGATCGCTGTCTCTTCTGTAAATCTTTCTGTACAAAGTTCCCTCCAGCAAAACTAAAACAGCTTTTATTTAAGGTCTTTAAACTGAAACCTAAACTTCACTTCTCACGTTTTGTGCATTTTAACTGACTTTGTGCTCATTCTGCATGCTCTCAATAACATGAACGTGGTTCTTCAACCAGATGGAGCTGCGGGAGTCCAGACAGCGGTTAGTGGTTGCCCTGCAGGACTATACGCCACAGGGAGACAATGACTTGCCCCTTCACAAAGATCAGCAGTATTTGCTCATTAGCAGCTCCCACTCCGAATGGTGGACTGTGCAGGACGAAACGGGGTGAGACTCACTTATTTTAGGCTCAAATGTGAAACCATGGAGCTTAATTTTGAGAATGTTTTGCTTTTTGTTTCCTTTAATGTATCAGGAGGACAGGTTTTGTGGCCAGCACGTACGTAGCTGAGAAAACTGGCAATAACTTTGAACGATTTGAGTGAGTTTGACTTCCTTTCTCATCACATATCCTGAAAAGCATTTGTTTGTTCACTAACTCAACCCATTTATTGTTGTTTTTGTGTCATTTACCAGATGGTACAGCAAACACGTAACCAGATCTCAAGCAGAGGACCTGTTAATGAAAGAGGTACAAGCTTTTTTTTCCCCCCACATTCTGACAACCGGGAGGTTCCTGGACTTTTGTTGTGACTGCGCCACCTACCCCGTCGTGCTTTTGCAGAAACAGAATTAATGCACCTGCACCCTGAAAATCTGACACGACATGGGACACATTTTTCTCACAGCCACAGAGTTTCCTTTAATGTTGAATTTCCTGCCGTCAAGCGATTTGCTACATTTTGCAGGCAAAGGAGGTGTGTGTGTGTGTGTGTGTGTGTGTGTGTGTGTGTGTGTGTGTGTGTGTGTGTGTGTGTGTGTGTGTGTGTGTGTGTGTGTGTGTTTGTGTGTGAAAGAGAGAGAGGGAGAGAAAGTCTGAAAATGTAACAGAAATGACCCGGATATTTAAAGTTTTTTTTTCTTTGCTTAATCTTTATTTCTGATGTCGTTGTTTTGTTTTTAGGGGAAGGAAGGTGCATTCATGGTGCGAGACTCGAGACAGGCAGGAGTGTACACAGTCTCCGTTTTCACCAAAGCGCCGGGGTAATTCACACGTTTTTTTTCGTGTTTAGCTGAATGATGAATCACGACTTCCCTCTTCATCAAAGGAAAGATGCAAAATTTTATCACAGACAGAACTTTATGTCAATAGTTATCAAACTAATAAAATGACATTAAATGAATATCTAATGGGACTTTAGCAGCAAGTTAGCCTAGCTGTTAGCTCATCAGTCCTGAAAGATATGAGCACTATTTCTCTGAATAGAGGCTGTTCAGAACACCAGTTACAGTAACATAGTCATTATTTATGATTTTTACACATGAAATGCTCAATCCTGTACAGTAATTCAAAATCTTTTCTCAACAAACATTTATTTATTTGTTTTTTCCTCATTCATACCTAAAACTGTCTTTGATTTTCTAGCAGAAACAAAAATGACACAATAAACAGTTTAACGCTTTTAAGTGGATATTTTATTGAGTCTATTTACAAAAAGTGATTTTCACATACTTCAGTGAAGAGGTCCAGCATTGCCACCCTGTCTAGAGCTTTTGCCCCTTGTGTGAAATATTTCAGCACCACCTTTGGAAACACTTGAAAACAGAAAAACTTTAGGTCTAATGTGCACAGTTACACAACATTTCTGTGTTTGGTCTGTTTGTGCACCTGTTTCCTACTGCTGTCCTGTTACTCTGAGACAAGTCTGCTGCGTTAACACATCTGACACCTTCAGGTCTAATGGAGAGAAAAATCCCAGAGTGAAACATTACCAAATACGACAGCCAGACACGGAGCAGAGAGCGTTTTACTTGGCTGAGAAATACCTGTTCGGCACCATTCCCGAGCTAATCCATTACCACCAACACAACGCTGCAGGTGAGCCTGCCTTCCACCTGTTCACACGAAACGATCAGAAAGGGAGGCATGCTGTGGAAGCTTTTCTAATTATCACTCTGTCATTGTGAAGGTCTAATAACAAGGCTGAGACATCCCGTCTCTCCAGGAAGACGGCCCTCGCAGGAGGTTTCTGATCTCTCTGAAGGTTGTATGCCGTGCTGAGCAAGAGCTCGTGGTTTTGCTGACCTCTTGTGGTGTTTTAACAGGACTGCAGTCTGCTCTGTTTTGATTTGTTTGGTTCTCTGATGTCTACAGATCAGTGGGAGATCGACCCCGAGGAGCTGATCCTGGGTCAGCAGGTGGGAAGCGGCCAGTTTGGGCTTGTGCTGGAGGGGGTGTGGAGGGATAGGAAGGTGGCTGTGAAGATGGTGAGAGAAGACTGCATGTCAGACGAGGAGTTCAAAGAGGAGGCGAAGATTATGATGTGAGTAAAACGAGGCAGGCACTAATTCTGGTGGATCTGGAAACCTGAGGTGTCTGTCCACAGGAGGTTGTCCCACCGTAAGCTGGTGCAGCTGTACGGCGTGTGCACCCAGCGCTCTCCCATGTGTTTGGTGTTTGAGTTGATGGAGAACGGCTGTCTGACCAGCTACCTGCGAGAGAGGAGAGGCCGTCTGGCTCAGGATGTGATGTTGGCCATGTGTCTGGATGTCGCTGAAGGAATGGCTTACTTAGAGAGCTCCAACTTTATCCACAGAGACCTGGTAAACCATGAAAACCAAGCAACTTTTCATGTTTTATATTTCTGTCGTTTATGGTGGCTCTGTTCCAACAGGCTGCCAGGAACTGTCTCGTCTCAAACAACGATGAGGTGAAGGTGTCTGATTTTGGCATGACCAGGTATTTTCTCATCGGACGCTCGGAAATCCATGACCTGGTTGTTGTCACTCACACATATGCGGTGTCACTTCCTGCAGGTTTGTACTTGACGATCAGTACACGAGCTCCCAGTGCTCCAAGTTCCCCGTCAAGTGGTCGGCTCCAGAGGTCATCAAGTTCTGCAAGTTCAGCAGCAAATCGGACGTCTGGTCGTTCGGTACGTGCTCCCATTCACGATCTTTCTGTTGCTCGTGTCTGAATCTTGACATGTTGTCATTTGGTAAATGGCCTGTACTTGTATCGCGCCTTCTTAGGGTTGTACAACCCCCCAAAGCGCTTCACAACACAATCAGTCATTCACCCATTCACACACATTCACACGCTGGTGGTGATGAGCTACGATGTAGCCACAGCTGCCCTGGGGCGCACTGGTGAAAGCGAGGCCGCCAAGTACAGGTGCCACCTGACCCTCCGACTACCACCAGTGGAAAAGGCGGGTTAAGTGTATTGCCCAAGGACACAACGGCAGCATTCTCTGGAAGAGCCTGGATCAAACCTACGACATTCCGATTGCTGGACAACCCGCTCTCCATCCTGAGCTCCTGCTGACAAGGGGCTTAACACACGTGCGCGCACACACACACACACACACGCGCGCGCGCGTGTGCGCGCGTAACACGCACTAGTCTTTTCATAAAGCATTCAGGGCTTGAGCCCAAGGTGGCCGGGCCTAACGCCGCCCCTGCTGCTGTCCCAAAAATCTGTAAACACAAAAGAAAGTTTACAACCAATATGTTCAAAGCTGAAACATTCATGTGTTCATTCTTTATGAACCTTCCAAATAAGCCAGAAAAATCTGAGGCTTTTACATAGAAAAGAGCCATTTTTACCCTCTCTCGCTACATCTGATGATGCGTTGCATTGATGGGAGAAAAATACCCAAAAGAAGAGAATAGGCTATCTAGTTCAACGGGAAATGCAACTTTGTTGTTCAGAAGTGTGCACGGCTACCTCAGTCCAAAGGAGAGCACGAGCTAAGGAACAAACGTCATTTTTACATCTGGCACTGAAATGATAAGAAGCATTTATAATTGTGCATATTTCTTTGTCATGTAATTCTATTATTATTCATTGCTGTTCAAATCGCTGCAGATTATGCAGAATGAGAAAAGCTGCATTGTTGTCAGTTTTAAATGAACTTTACTCAGGTTGGAGTCATTATTGGTCAGCGTTACACGGCTGCAGTTTGCAGAGCTTCAATTATAATGGTTCACATAATTTTCTTTATTGCAAAGTTAGATAAAAATCCAATAAAAATTACAACATCCAGCATTTTGATACAAAGGACCGAGTTACTGAATATGCACTCAGCTTAAATTGATGTTAAAACCACGATGAAAACTCCAAACAAACAAAAGATGGATATTAAAAACAAAGGAAAGTGATAAAAAAACAAGTTCAAGAGACAATGTGTATTTTTTATCATTAATCTCTGGAAATTTCCATCAAAATGTTGTTGTAAATGAATTAAAAGATGCTCAGTTGATTAAAAATATTGGCAGTTTCATAACATATAACCATGAAAATCTGTTCTAAAATACATGGCAGCAAGTCTAATTTTGGATGCCGTATTTCCTTCTATGGAAGCCCGTGAGGACAAAATGCATTTCCTGATTTGTAACAAACAGTTACAAAACTTTCACCAAACGTTGTTATTTTACACATTTACCTCTTCGCTCGTTGTCAGCGATGAAAGGGAGTCGGATGTGCTTATTTTGCTGGAGGTTGCGTTCCCACGCATTTTTGACCCTAATGGCCATCCGTTGGTAAGCTCTTACTTGAACACAAAAGTAATGCTTGCTTACAATCGTTTAGGTATGTACTGCCCCATAAATCCAGGGAAACTACACACTGTTACTTTAAAGGTGCATTGTGTAGAAATGAAGTTAAAAATACATCCTGTGGTAAAATGTGGTTACTGCAACCACTTTAAACAACTCTGGAGCTTTTTCTCGGCCATCGTCAAATTATAATTGTCGACGTTGCAGTATTAGCTCGCAGAGACATGGCAACCCCACACTCGCTGATGATAAACAGTAGCTACGTCCCTCCTTCCTTTGTTTTGAAAGAAGAAAAACTGACAATCCCTGCAGCCAGCTGGATATGAACTATGTTTCAGCATGACCTTCCTTCCAAAATGACTGAAACGTTACTCATGACTCTTTTTGGATTTTCTCACTGTAAAATCCTCACTGTTTTCTTACATACTGCACCTTTAATCATATCAACTAAGTTTAAAAGAAAGAAAACCCAGGAATGCTTTTACTTGCTCTTGCTTCCGTGGAAAATCTGCTGTGATCCTATTATTCCAAACGTAAAATTTAGCTTCAACTGTTAAATCGTTTTGGAAAAATAGAAACAGTTGCTGTGATGTTGCAGGATCATTTCAGGGAAACCGTTGCTATGGATACTGAAGGTAACACACTATTAAACCATCTGTAGCGTTGGGTTCTTGACATCACAGCTGCTCCTCGTCCACAGGTTAACAGCCGGGACGACTCCAGAATCAACTAGAAGAGAAAATGGTTCAGACCTGTTTTAGTGTAACCGCAACTGCTCCATGCTTCTAAGGAACTGACTAAGGATGAGCTCACTTTCAAAAGAAATGATTTGACAAGAAATAAATAAACAGACCTCAGAATATTTAGTGGAAATTTCCAAAAGGTCAGACACACACATGCACACACTCACATATTCAAATTCCAACCCACAAGGCTTTCTCTCCTTTCATTATTATTATTTTTTAGCCTTTTTATGTTTCTCTTTTCACTAATAAACTATATATTTGTATGGCGGTGTACTAAAAACAGTCAACTGATCTAAAAAGTTTCAAATAAACCTTCACGCCACCATCACTTTAGCACTACGGTGTAAAGTCCTGAAAGAAAAATGCTAAAATTCAAACCATGAGTGCTTCAAACAGCAAGCTCTGCTGCTAATTCCTGTTGGAAATAATGATTAAAACCTCACAACATTATTGAGATAAAAAAAAATCTGGACTGGAGTGAATTTGACCCTTTTTAGTTTAGTGTTTTGTAACCAACCTGGTTTGGACTTTAGCTCATCCATCTGGTCATGCGATCTGTAACTTTTCTAAAACCCACTAGAAGGATCTGAATCACCACTATGGGATGAATGAGCTAAAACAGAGTTCTAGCAGAAAGAAAAGATTCAACAATGTTCAGTTGTGATCAATAAAGCTTAATAATCTATTGATTGAATGACAAAAAGAAAGTAATGCATTTTCTTCTATCATTAGGGGTGCTCGTGTGGGAGGTTTACAATGAGGGGCGTATTCCGTACGAGAACCGTTCTAACTTGGAGGTGGTGGAGTCTCTAAATGCAGGCCTGAGGCTGCTGAAGCCACGATTGGCCCCAGACTCGGTGCACACGGTCATGGAGTGGTGCTGGAAGGAGGTAGGGACAAGAAATTTACACAACACCTCCCGTAAAATGCTGACAAATAAAACCTGACTCTGTTCCGCTTCTCAGAAACCAGACGAGCGTCCGTCCTTTGCTCTACTCGTGCACGAACTGGCGTCCCTCTCAGACCTGTGACCAGATCTGACAAACATTCACCACTGTTGTATTTATTTGATTTATTTATTGAGCTATTTGTGAAGATGTGGTTTAGCACTTTATCTGTTTTATGAATCTCATTCCCACTCAGTCCATTCTCAGACGTACGATTCTATAACCCGTGTAAAATTTGAGTTATTTTACTTTCTTGTTTTTTGTTGTTCTTCTTTGTACTTTTTCCTCATTGTATCAGCAAAAGTTCAGTTAGCCGTTCTGTAAAATGATGGAAACAATATAGACCCTAAATAAAAATAGGAGAATCTTGGTTTTGTCTCATTGTAAAAACCTGATAAATACGCACAAAAATACAGAACTCTTATTTCATCCTATTACAAATACGGGGACTCGTGAGATAAAAGTGAAAAATCAAAACAATGACAGATGGGTATTAAATATTCATACACAGAGATTTTAAACTGATGAATTGTAGTGATGATTTTTAGGAAAACAGGCAAATTGTTCCAGTCTCTTGATGCTTTGACAGAAAAGACCAGCATTCCTGACTCCAGCACTCCTGACTCCAGCATTCCTGACTCCAGCATTCCTGACTCCGATTTAGAGAAAGAGATGACGATGTTCTATGAATGTGGTAATGAGATCTACATGGTACTAGTAAGTTAGTTAAGTATGAAGGAAAATTAAAATAAACACGCTTAAAAAAATAAATAAATGATTTGCAAATGCCAAAAAACAAGAATAGTCATAAAAGATGTGGATAAAATATAGTTTACTGTTAAACAGATGTGATTCAGAGTGGTTACTGAGACAGTTCTATATAGATCTATCTATCTATCTATCTATCTATCTATCTATCTATCTATCTATCTATCTATCTATCTATCTATCTATCTATCTATCTATCTATCTATCTATCTATCTATCTATCTATCTATCTATCTATCTTTCTATCTATCTATCTATCTATCTATCTATCTATCTATCTATCTATCTATCTATCTATCTATCTATCTATCTATCTATCTATCTATCATCTATCTGTCTGTCTGTCTGTCTGTCTGTCTGTCTGTCTGTCTGTCTGTCTGTCTGTCTGTCTGTCTGTCTGTCTGTCTGTCTGTCTATCTGTCTATCTATCTATCTATCTATCTATCTATCTATCTATCTATCTATCTATCTATCTATCTATCTATCTATCTATCTATCTATCTATCTATCTATCTATCTATCTATCTATCTATCTATCTATCTATCTATCTATCTATCTATCTATCTATCTATCTATCTATCTATCTATCTATCTATCTATCTATCTATCTATCTATCTATCTATCTATCTATCTATCTATCTATCTATTAGGCTGATCAGTCCCCAGCTTGTGTTCAAGTGGTCTATTGCTCCACGGATCCCCCCTGCGGACCGTGAGGTCCTCTCTGCGGCCTCGAGCATGGTTTTGGTGGCTTTCCTCAGTTGCAGTCCACTTACTCCAAGGAGTTTGTGTTCGCAGTAGTGAGTGGCCAGCAAAGCCTCTGCACCCGACCTCGACAGGCTCACAGCGAACCAGCCGTTGTTCCGGCACTCCGAGCTCAGCTCTGCATACTTGGCCCTCTTTCGCCCGTGGGTCTCTTCAATACAGTCTTCCCAAGGGACTGTCATGACCACCTGGTTGGTGGACTCAGATGTTATCACAATATCTGGGCGGAGAGACATAGCTGTGATGTTTTCTGGGAACTTGAGCTGCCTACCTACATCAACTTGAAACTGCCAATCGTGAGCGGGAGAGAGAAGCCCCCCTTGGGTGCTGGGCCAGTGGTATTGTGACTCCTGCCCTGCCTTAACAAAGGTGATGGCTTTTTGGGGGGCTGCCTGGGTCTTGCTGTGCTGATTGCTGTGCACATTGAGTCCGCCAAAGCTTTAAGCACCTGGTCGTGGCGCCAGCGGTAACGTCCCTGCCCTAGCGCTTTTGAGCAACTGCTTAAGATGTGCTCCCTTCTGGCACAGCTTACACTCGGGAGTGTCTGCCAGTCCCCAGGTGTGTAGGTTGGTTGGGCTTGGGAGGACGTCATAGACGGACCGGACAAGGAATTTGATCCAAACAGACTCGGCTTTCCAAAGCTCTGTCCAGGAGATTCTGCCGGACTCAGCTTGTTCCCACTTGGTCCACGCTCCTCGTTTGGACATGCCGGCCATTTTGGTGTGGCGTTCATCCAGCTCAGCTCGAATCTCACCCTGAATCAGAGCCAGACTGTAGCATGACGTAGGAAAACAACCAAGGCCTGCTCGTCCCATTGCCACTGATCCCACCAGTGTTTTGTACCGTAGCCGCGCTTCAGCTTTGCTGATCGCCTCTTGCGCCTGCCACTTCCTCCCGGTCTTCACAAGGATTCCTGCTGCTGCGACTTTTGTGTCTCTGGAGTCCCTGTACATAAGCACCTCTCTCGAGTGTGTAGCCTTGAACTCCTCCGTTAACCCGCTCAAGGGAAGATGCAGCTTGGTGGAATGGCTGTACAGGGCAATACTGCTCAGGGACCAAGGGAGCCCAAGCCATCTCCTGAGGAACTGGATGACGACTTTAGAGGCTCAACAGTTGAGATTGATACCTCGTAGACTAACAAGGGCCAAAGAATTCTTGGCAAGACTCCGTGTTGGTAGATCCAGGCTTTAAATTTCCCAGGAAGGCCAGATCTATCAACAGTGGAATGCCAGGTCATCAGGTCTTGCTTAGCTTGTTTTATTGCAGCTGAGTCCTTTAAGGAGCTGTTAAAGACTTTACCCAGGCTCTTGACCGGCCTTTCAGTCACTGATTGAATCACAGTTTCTCCAAGGACAAAGCGAAAACGGTCCGAAAGTTTACCCTTCTTCAGGACCAGGGACCTGGACTTCGCAGGCTTGAAGCTCATCCTTGCCTCGGAGATAAGCTGATCAAGTCCCTGGAGGAGCCACCTGCACCCCGCGACAGATGTGGTCATTACTGTCAAGTCATCCACGAAGGCTCTTATTGGGGCCTATATATATATATATATATATATATATATATATATATATATATATATATATATATATATGTGTAGACGTAGATACACAGAAATATAACATAGATATGTTACATTTTTTAAAATTTCTTTAATTTTTTAAAACCTTTTGAATACATTTATTTTTCTTTTTACCTTTAATTTATTCAATATTACAGCAGTGTAGAGCTGCCACCCACGCAAAATAAAATTGGAGTGATATCATGTTATAATATTTTAACTTTATTGTTCTAACAAACTAACTTTCATGTTTGTACAATTATCTATCATGTTCTAACAAAATTCTGTGATTAAGATTCTGTGGTGAGGACTTAACTCCTCTGTCACTATCGCCCCACAGAGCAGAGGTGCCAAGAGAAAATTACATTAACATTAATTTCTGCATTCATACAGTCTGATATGAGCGTGGGTGTGACTTTCTAGTGGGCTGCCACTATCGACTGATCTGATTAACCACTCTCCTACATTGTGTGCTGACAGGAAGTTAAGTCACTGTGACTAACTGTGGAGCCACCGGGGTTAGTCTGCCAGATTAAAGATCAAATGTTTGTTAAACAGCATTTGCATGAGTTTACCTGATTCTTTCTCTTAGTTGAGATTGTTAACGCACACTCTGGGACTCACGTGTTTGCTGAAATGAGCTCTAATGTTGGTTCTCCAAACTTAGGTTGATCAAAGAATTATTACTATTATTATTATTATTATTATTACTATTATTATTATGAATGATTTTATTCATTCAATATATAAAACATCACCTTGTTTCTTCTTCTCGCAGGTGGAGCATTAGACTCAGCTATATTGCCCTGCCTGACATCAAAACTTTATTAGAAACAAAGAATGTACAACACCTGCACTGTAAAACTTGATGAGTTAATATAACTCTAAATTTTGGTGAAACTGGTTGCATCAAAAATAATAAATTAATGAAACTCAAAAATAGTTGAGAACATACTTTATTTAGTTGCTTTATGTTAAAAATTTTAACTAAAGTGAATAGTTTTTAAAGTTAAGTACATATATTTTCTGGGTATCCTCTACTTTGAATTCTCAGTTTAGAGTACTAATTTAAAGTAGCAAATAACTAAAAACATGACTACCCACAATGCACCTCACACACCAGTTCTTTATTGTTCCTGCATCCATCCATCTTCTGAACCCGCTTTGTCCGCGGGGGGGGACTGGTGCATATCTCCAGCAGGCAACGGGCAATCAGGCGGGGTACACCCTGGACAGAGAGCCAGTCCATCGCAGGGCAACACAGAGGCACACAGGACAAACAATCACACACACACACACACACACACACACACACACACACACACACACACACACACACACACACACACACACACACACACACACACACACACACACACACACACACCTAAGGACAATTTAGACAGACCAATCAACCTAACAGTCATATTTTTGAACTGTGGGAGGAAGCCGGAGCACCCGGAGAGAACCCACGCATGCACAGGGAGAACACGCAAACTCCATGCAGAAAGATCCCAGGCCAGGAATCGAACCCAGGACCTTCTTGCTGCAAGGCAACAGCTGTTTCTGCAATGCACCAAAATTACTTGCCCTTGGTTGTTTTTCCTATAAGTCCACAAACATTTAAAACACGTGTGTGTACACACACACACACACACACACACACACACACACACATATATATATATATATATATATATATGTGTATATATATATATATGTATATATGTATGTATGTATGTATGTATGTATGTATGTATGTATGTATATAAGTCTATTTATCAGACACAGGTGACATCAAGATTTATAGAATAAAATAGAACCATAAAATGATAAATTAATCATTTAGTTATTTTTACTCATTCCAGTTAAGTTGTGGTTTATTAATTTATGTATGTTAGGCTACTATAAAAGGAAATAGTTCAGGTTAATTACAAAGTTTGAGTTCTATTTAATACAAGGAAAAGGCTGAACTAATTCAACACATTTGAGTTCTAAAATATTTGATTATTTTCAACATTTTGGGTTTACAGAGTGCAGAAAGATGAGGGCGCACAGAAAAATAAAAATAAAAAATACAACTGAACCAAAATATCACTGTCCCAAACATGCTGAGGCTATATAAAGCTTGAGGCACACCGTAGGCGGACGATCAGTGTTGCTCCTGCGATTTTGAGAACAAGATTTTGTCACACAGGAAATGCCACTGAGCACTTCTGGAAAGTCGTGCGATAGTCACAACATCACGCGGGACTTGAGAACAGGAAGCGGGAAGTGACTCTATTGTTTATACTTGATCAGACTTGCCATAGCATTTTGTGAGACTCAAATTTTTTAAAAGTGGGAAAGTATACTATTTATTAAAATACATGAACATCAATAGTACTTTAAAGTTATCAAAAGTGCGGTTGGGTTTGTTCTGCGTCGTAATGTCTACTGTAAAGTACTCCACAATGTTGTAAAGCTGTGGTGGCGCTGCGCGGCTGCGCCTGAGATGAAACTGGTGCCTATCTTGTTTTATCTCCGGTTCTATTCTTCTTCAGCCAACACGTCGGACATGTTCAGAAGAAGAACCGGAGATAAAACAAGTTCTGGTTTGGAGCAAGAGTTTATAAAGAAGTTAGCGAGATCCAGCATTTATTTTGGTAACCAACTTCTGCTTATTGGCAAGCAAATTTGTACATTAGCTAAATGATTAAGTACCAGCTAAATATTTATTTTTCACAATGTTATTTAGCTCCACACTATATTTTACATTTTTTGAGTCAGACTTAAATATTTATTTCTCAAATACTGATTTTGCAAACTAAATGTTTAGCTCCAAAATAAATATTTAGCTGGGATCTCAATATTTATTTAGGAAAATAAATATTTAATTTACAAATCAAATATTTAGTTCCAAAATAAATATTGAATTAGTAAATTAAATATTTAGTTAGTGAATTAAATATTTATTTTACAAACTAAATATTTAGATCTGACCTAAATATTTAGTTTGCAAAATAAATATTTAACTACAAATTAAATATTTAGCTTGCTAACTAAATATTTATTTGGAAACTTTAACATTTATAAACATGGTGAAAATACGACTTCAAAAAAGTGAACTCCCAATTTTTTCTCTTATGATATGCTAAATAACCAAAAGTATTGCTGTTAGATTACGACTGTTTGACTTCACAAATGGCACCCCAAAGTACAAGTGCCTGAGTAAGCTGTAAAAACGAGAGGGATCAACATGTCGACGGCGCCGAGCTGCGACTGTCCCTTTAAGAAAATGCACTTGCAGCCATTTTCTGCTCTTTGTGTGGAGCGGATTAGCACAGGGCTGGTACCGAGCGAAACTAGAGCATCAGTCGGTACGGAACACCCAGAAAACACCCAGGAACCACCGGAGAGCTGTCGCAGGACCGCGACACCGGCCACCCGTCTGCTTGTCGCCGGACTCCGCGGGACATGCGATTTTCGGGTAGGTGGAAACATGGATGCAGAGGAAGGAGAGAGGCTGGGGGTGATGATGTGAGCTGGGTAGTGATGATGGCTGGAGAGCGACCGGGAGAGCTGCTGCCGCTTTTCTCTCCCTCCGTCTCGCGCTTTTACATCTTTCCCGTCACCTGTGTGTTTGTGCATGAACGAGATTCCGGATGAAAAGATGAGCGGATGAATGTGACTGATGAATGGGAGTCCCGTTCGCCTCCATCGGTGCCGTGGCTCAGATGGGTGGGGTGAGGCTTCCCGAGCAGCAAGTGCACCGAGGAGTGATGGAGCACGTACACGTACAGATAACGGTTTCCCGAGCCGGTAACGTCTTTTACACAGATAAGGTAAAATATACACCCGAGTGAGTTTATGTTTAGGACTCCGAGAGCTCGATCACACATTTTACTCCCCCCCCCCCCCCCCCCCTTTATTCTGTATCTACGGTGAGAAATGCCCTTCTCCACCCTAGAACCCCCCCCGTAGTTGATGCATCCGACCAGCAGGCCACACGGTCCAGACCCATCACGGCCATCGCACCAGCAGCCTTCGGGCCTGGGTGATCACCATCCCCGGTTCACACGCTTCCGTCTCTGCATTCACACCGCTGCACACCTCTTTCCTGAAATCCGCCTCTCATCATGTGCTGTCAGCAAGTTGTAAACATGCAGCGATGCAGATTTTCCATGTAGTGGTGGAGAAAACCATTTTAACTGATCTAAAGTGGTTGCACTGGTTCAGACAAGACTGGGACTGGTGGGTTGTGTTCACCATTAGAGGCGCCTCTGGTATCACTGCTTCATCACAAGACAAACTGTTTAAAAATCATTATTTTTTATTGAAGTTTAGGTTAAAAGCAACACACATGAATGGAGTTGCTGTTTTTTGTTTTGTTTTCTAGAGAAGATGTCTACTGTTTGACAAAAAAAAGTAATCCCGTTGATTAATTGGCACATTTACAGAACAAAAGAGAAAATAATCACATTTATCTTTGGATTCTTGTCGAGCTCTAAGGCCCGGTTCACACAGGAGGGTTTAAAATTGTGGGGTGATTTTTAAAAACGTGAGAGACCCCACACGAGGTGATGAAAAATCACCAAACAGTTTTGGTCCTGCAGTCCAGCAACATGGCTAAAACTACACACCGATTAGACGAGAAGTCTTGCTAAACCTATCTGTGGTGGAGGAGGAGCATGCTTTTGATGGACTTTCAACATGAAGCATGTTTGTTTGTCTTCGATGTTGGGCCGAGCCCAGATTTAAGATCGAAGCAGTCCTGATGTCCTTCTGAGAAGACCAGAGTGGCTGTAGCACCCCACACATGGCCAGAATCAGAGGTTGACTAATATTGTTTTTTGTATTGCTGATACCAATGCTTTGGTGGACACCAGCGGTTAAGGATGCTGCCAAGCTGAAGAAAGAGTCCTGTCAGGTCTTTTTGGCTTGTGGGACTCCAGAGGAAGCTGACGGGTACCGGTGGTCCAAGCAGAACGCGGCTCGGGTGGTTGCCAAGGTAAAAACCCGGGCATGGGAGGAGTTCGGTGAGACCATGGAGCAAGACTTTCGTACGGCTTCAAGGAGATTCTGGTCCACCATCCGGCGCCTCGGGGAGAAAGCAGTGTGCTACCAACACTATCTATAGTGGGGACGGTGTGCTGCTGACCTCTACTCAGGACTTGTGGATCGGTGGGCAGAATACTTTGAAGACCTCCTCAATCCCACCGACACGTCTTCCAGTGAGGAAGCAGAGTCTGGGGACTTGGAGTTGGGCTCTCAAATCTCTGGTGCTGAGGTCATGGTCAGTCGATGGCCGATTTGTGCAGCCGAAATTTTGGGCAGATTTTAGTGATGCACCGATATGAAATTTTTGAGCAGATGTGATATGTGATATTAATTTCACTGTTATGGACGATAACCGATATTTGCCAATACTGATATATTGACATAACTGCTTCAAAAATCAGGAGATTCGGTGGAGAATGAAAATTATTAAAGCTGAATTTACATCATTATGTACAAACACCTCACACATTTACGCTTCTGAGATGATTATCATCAATGTCACATGACTAAACAAGTACACATCAACCTCTGAAACAGAGAAACAAAAGGAAACGATGGGAAAAATATTTGTTGTTAATATTGACCCAGTTTTATTTATCGGACTGATGCCTATATATGAAAAAAGGTCTAACTTCGGCTGATACCGATATTGATGCCGATATATCGTGCATCCCTTGCAGATTTTCATGGCCGATATTTATCAATCAATCAATCAAAGCTTTATTTATAAAGCGCCTTCCGCAACCCTGTCAGGAAGCCCAAAGACATTTACCACCTTATTTTGATGCCAAAATGTCACTAATAACATTAGTTCATGCACAGATTTTCTGAAGCTGGATCAATTTTTTGAACACTTAATTTAACCAGCTGTTAAATCTTTGTTTTGTGCACTGATCAGTGTTAAAATCAATAAGGTTGCACCAATATGACATTTTGGGCCGATACTGATATCCTAAACTAATATTGGCTGATTAACGATATGTGCCGTTTAGGGTTGTCATGGTGTGAAAATTTAACCTCACGGTTATTGTGACCAAAATTATCACTGTTTTCGGTATTATCGCGGTATATTTTTTTTAAACGTGTTACATTTTCAGACAAGTACATAAACCCTAGCCTAGTGAACTAGACCAAATTCTTGCTTTGCAAAGAATGGTCTAGGCATGCTCCATTGGAACCTCAGCAGCTCCTACCAGGACTCTGGCTAGCCAATCACAGCTCTCTAGAGGGGTTTCAAACACATAAAGAGCTGTGATTGGTCCACAATGGTGGACCAATCATAGTGCTCTATCTGCTTAGTGAACAAATCACAGAGCTTTATCTGCTTTGTGGGCCAATCAGGGCACTCTATATGCCTGGTGGGTGGGATGATGCAACAGAGTGAAACAAGAGTATGTCACATTCATTGTCCAGTGGAATGCGGAGATCATTTGAAAGACAACGGTAGAACCCGCCCCACAACCGAGAGCCGTCAATGGAGCGTGGCCAGACTAAATAATACATTTATTTAGTCTGGCTTGCCAGGCTACATAAACCCCATATATCAGGAAAATATTGTCCTCAGTTTGTGTCAAAATTTAGCCTAAAATTTGTTATTTTGTAATTATATTGTTTATTTGTTTACATGTTTCCCCTTTAGTCTTTAAAATACCAATATTTGTCCATAACTTCTTATTTTTTGTCTGTTTGATGTCATCATTTTAAAAATATTAGATCAGATGATACTCAGGACTCAAGTAGCCTTCTAATCAGATACTTTTTTTTACCCTTACTTGAGTAATAATCCCTATATCAGGAAAATATTGTCCTCGGTTTGTGTCCTTCCAGTGAGCTTTGCAGATGTGGGAAAATGTCATCAGGCAGTAATCATTAGGGCTGTCACGGTAACCGCAAAAATGAAATATCGCAATTTGAAGAAACCCACCGAGCTGCATCATGGGCCACCGCGATTACTGAACGTGATTCAACTCAATGATGCATGTTGAGAAGGATGGCTGCACTGGTATCAAAACAAAACGTTACTTTGCTCCTTTGGGAGCCCTTTGGTTTTCAGTACGTCAGCTGCTGCGCAGCCAGAGTCCTTGGCCGAGACAGAGCTGCCATCAGCGGCAAAAAAATAATAATAAACGCTCGGAGACCTGCTGAAGTCCCGGACAAGCACTGCTTCTGCAACCGTCCCGAAGAGCGCTTGAGCCGAGCTGGAGCTCACTCGCTACCTGCAGGAGGAATGCATCACCCTAAAGAAACCCCCAGACACGGTGGAGCAACAACCGGGAGAGATTCCCTTTGCTCGCCAGTCGCACGCAAGTACGTGTGCGTTAGTGCAACGAGCGCACCATCCGAGAGGGTTTTCAGTGTTGCTGGAAATGTTGCCACCCCTCTCAGATCCTCTCTCAAACCGTATAAGGTTATCATGCTGGTTTTCCTTGTGGGTAACAAGGACGTGACCGAGCTATAAATCACCATAATTCGTGTGTGTGTGAAAGTGAAAGTGAAATGATAGTGCCCCGTGCCCGGTACGTGTAATTTTTTATGCTTGATTTTAAACAACTAAACAAAATGGGGACTTGTTTCTTATTTGTTAGATGCTGCAGCCAAATTTGCATTTAAAAGTTTAACCTTCTCCTGAATTTTGTTGTTTTTAAGTTCAGTCAGACTCCGACTGTCGGAGAAACAAACGTTACTGCGATCTGTGTTGTTACTGCCCTTTGATCTGCATTCAGTAAAGTGTTATAAAAGAAGGCACAGCAATTTTTAACCTTTTTTAAATGTGTAAGCATTGTGTTTAGATAGTACTGCAATAAAAAAAAGTGCTGCAATAATATCGCAGACCGCAATATTAAGCCACCCTGAATCACCGCAGGGGGAATTCCTCAACTGCGACAGCCCTAGTAATCATTGTTAAATTCATAATTATTCTCGGAGAGAGACCAACTCTTTATCTGCCCCTGGGAGCCCCGTAATGCATACCGTCATTTCAACATGGCGGTGTCCGCGACACGGTTTATATGCAGGTAGCAGTGCTGCGGCTGCTTTATAGGGAGTGCAGAATTATTAGGCAAGTTGTATTTTTGAGGAATACACTTTCATCAGTCCATAAAACCTTAGAAAAATCAGTCTTGAGATATTTCTTGGCCCAGTCTTGACGTTTCAGCTTGTGTGTCTTGTTCAGTGGTGGTCGTCTTTCAGCCTTTCTTACCTTGGCCATGTCTCAGAGTATTGCACACCTTGTGCTTTTGGGCTCTCCAGTGATGTTGCAGCTCTGAAATATGGCCAAACTGGTGAAAGTGGCATCTTGGCAGCTGCATGCTTGACTTTTCTCAGTTCATGGGCAGTTATTTTGCGCCTTGGTTTGTCCACACGCTTCTTGCGACCCTGTTGACTATTTTGAATGAAACGCTTGATTGGTCGATGATCACGCTTCAGAAGCTTTGCAATTTTAAGACTGCTGCATCCCTCTGCAAGATATCCCACTATTTTTGACTTTTCTGAGCCTGTCAAGTCCTTCTTTTAACCCATTTTGCCAAAGGAAAGGAAGTTGCCTAATAATTCTGCACACCTGATATAGGTTGTTGATGTCATTAGACCACACCCCTTCTCATTACAGAGATGCACATCACCTATTATGCTTAATTGGTAGTAGGCTTTCCAGCCTATACAGCTTGGAGTAAGACAACATGCATGAAGAGGATGATGTGGACAAAATACTCATTTGCCTAATAATTCTGCACTCCCTGTATATAGCGACTCGTGTCATTCTCCCTCAACCCAAATCCTCGGATCACGCATTTTAGCTAAAACGCTAACGTTAGCTTGCCTTGCGTTGACTGTAGAGTTGTGGGTTGTGGGTGATGGTCACGCAGATGTGTCATGAGATTTGAAGCGTTGCTGCCTTTCACAGACACTTTTTCTGCTCGTGCTGCAAACAGGATAGCCGTCTTCTATCAACTGTCCCTCGGCATTCTTCAAATATCCAAAAAATGCCCGTACTTCCCACTTTGTCTTCTTTGAGGGATAATAAATGTCCTGAGCAGCGCTGCCATCTCCTCCTTTGGCCATTATTTCAGCTTTAGCTTCAAGAAAGTTTTGGTCGTAAACAACAAAGTGCGCATGTGCCGCTGGCAACTTCAGCAGATGATACGGTGGCTGGTAAGGGTCGCCGCGCCTACACCGCAGCCACGGGAATCCACGAGATAATATGTTTTTAAAAACAAAATGGCTATTATTATTGTCGACTTTTTTACCGGGGTTTACCGCTACACCGGTTACCGTGACAACCCTTGTGCCGATACAGATCTCTCTCTCTCTCTCTCTCTCTCTCTCTCTCTCTCTCTCTCTCTCTCTCTACATATATGTGTATATATATATATATATATATTAGGGCTGCACGATATTAGGAAAACCTGCGATATTCGATAACAGTGCTTATTATTGCGATATCGATATAACTCACGATAAATGAACAAATACTAAAGTATACAGTGTTGATGTCGTCTGGCGTGTGACGTCTGCTCTGGGTTCAAAGCAAACAAAAACTAATGCATGAATTCCATTACAACATAACATTTTTATTGAAAAACATGCAGCTGCACCTGCTACTGTATTAGCAGCAAAACAACAAACTGCATGCATGCATTTTCTCAGTGACTTTAAAACATCACCTCCACCATAAAACCTTTTCTGATGCTCCAAATACAGAAAAACATCCCTCACCAGGGTTTTTGAATACATAAAAATATCAGAAAATAAGTTTAAATGTTAAATAATAGTTAACATCACTTAAATGCAACAGCAAATTCTCTCATTGCTACTGAACATTTTCTCCACTTATGTGGTTATGATATAAGGCTGTTGCTGTAATTGGGAAGTGATCTGCGCTGGGCCAAACTAGGAGACTATTAAGATTTTCTGAGGGAAAGAGAAAAACAATTGTCTACCTTTCAGAAGAGGAACTGGCAAAAAACTACATGGAAAATATGTGAAAACGTTTGTTTTTAACCCCAAATTGAACAAGTTTACCTAGATGTTAAAAAGCAGCTCAGATGATGAAACTGCAACTATGATTCTGATAACAAGCTAACAAATTGAACTAGCTCCTCTTAAGATAACCGGCTAGCAGAGCTTGTGACTGACAGTTTATGTGCAGCAGCAAATCAACTATCCTGAATAACAAGGTTATAAAAGCTCATAAATGAAAAATCACTTTGATGTGTGGGGGAACTTTTCCAGGCCCTCTTTAGCAGGGTGGCACTGGGAGGAGAGTGCTGTAGCCTTTTAGCTGGAAGCTAACCAGAGCCTGGGGCTAACGATGGGTTGGTTCACCGGCACGTGTCGGAGTCAGCCCGGTTATTATCAGCTGCTTAACGACACCGAGCGGACTCACGTTCACGTTTGAAAGCAGCGCTGATTCCAGAAACCTCAGCACAAAGTGTGTTTGTTAATCTGAGCCAGCATGATGAACAAGGGAAGCGAGCGGCAGCGGAAAGCGGGGGCGGAGCGGAGATAGTGGAATTCTGGGGTAAGGGTCTACGTAGGGGGTGAGCGTATTACGTGAATGGACCCATCTGATTGGCCACATATCAGAAGGGCTTCATTTGATTGGTCAAACAATACTTCCGTGTAAAAAACAGAGCTGGTTGACAAAAAGTTGATGTATGACACGGATGGAAATGTTTGAACCAAACATTTATCGCCGTTTCTGACATGCTTTGCAATGGGCCTATCGCACGTCCTGTTATTGCGATGACGATAATTTTTCGATATATTGTGCAGCCCTGATATATATATATATATATATATATATATATATATATATATATATATATATAAAAATGTGTATGTAAGGAGGATACTAAGGAGGTTTATCGGCCGATGCATAAAAATTGTCAGATACTGTATCAGCCTGATGTACTGGCCAACTGATATATCGGTCTTTCCCTAGCTGGAATACCTGATGAGATGTTTTTGAGAGCTATTGCAGTAATAGGGCACATCCTTGTCGAAATTGTAGAATTGCATCAAAAATGTGGATAATAAGTTGCCGTATGAACCATGCAGGCCTAAGTCAGCTGATTCCAGCCACCAACCCTTCGATCTGAACATTTGTGAACTGTGGGGGTGTTGTTTTGACTCCTGGTTAGTGTCTGGTCAAGCTGTAAAAAATCTTAATTCCAGTGTCTAGCTAAACAATCTGTACATTTTGGATAGAATAAAAAAAGTTTCTATGATTTAACTTCCTTGTCTTGTTAACTTCCTTTTGAAGCCATTATCACTACTATTGTTCTTTCTGCAACTGACATGTATTGAATGGTTTGAGAAGTAGAAAAAGGGGTAGTTAAATGCCACAGATAAACAGCTGTTTAAGAAAAAGGGAACTAGTTATGAAAGTTATCACTGATACCTACTAGTGCCGTTGCTGGGTGGGAATCATCCTCGGTGGTTGCTGCTCTACCACATCAGTAGGAGATAAAATAACTTCTTCAAAAGATCCAGTAGGATCCAACGTTTCCATGTCCTCCTCTGCCTGCGAGGAGGCGTGTTTAGAACACACTGCTCCTGCTCATGTGACGTTCTGAAAAAGAAAAAGAGAGCATGACATCACTGGAATCATGAGACGACAGCAGGTTTGTTTGTCTCTGAAATGACAATCGGAACTCACCCCCCACAGTCTGCTTATGTGTGTGTGTGTGTGTGTGTGTTACATCTGGACCGTCCTGCAAACTCCCAATTTTAATTTTTAGCACCTAAGTTACAAAATAATTTAGTAAATAGTTTGATGCTTTTCGTTCTGTGTAAAATAAAATTTTACTAGTTTACATAAGTTTTGTATTAATATTTGTAAAACTCAAACATTTTATTAGAAGTGAAATTCTATCCCAGTTTTATGGATCTGTACAGCACTCATTATGTGCTAGGTCTCCTAGAATCCACCACTATTGGTTAAATGTCATCACTGAATTAGCATTACTGCCTGTGTGTGATGTATATGAGAATATACTCATGAGATAAATAACAATTGTTAAGTAAGTCAGTGTAAACGAATAAAGTACAGAACAATCCTTTTCTCTTTCCCCCTTGTGGCAGCAACAGACACAAATGAATAGGCTTGCAAATGAGTAATAAAACAGCCTGCAATTAAAAGGCAGCTTGCTTAAAAAAATAAAATGCAGTAGAGGAGTTTTTTGAAAATGTAAAGCTAAATTAAAATAAGACTGTTTAAGTTTGATTTCTGTGCATTATCCTCTTCTCTTTAGTTTTTAGCAATATCCCCAAGTGTCATCTCAAATACTGCCAAAATCAGAAATCTCTTCATAAAAACAGGCAGTTTGTTGCTAAATATGTGCCTATGAAAGGATTGCCTTCTCACTGGTTTGGTTTAATGTGACTTCTGTTTTCGGACCTTGCTGGATAGCTTCTCAACATTTGGCACATAAGATGAAACTTTAATCTTAACACAGGACTGCAAGCTCTCATCTGTGAGCCATTGGCAATGAAAGCAAATAATTCGGTCCATTCTTCCTTGAATCCTCTGTTCTCATCAGCTATCTTTCTCTTTTTCCCTTTGGGATCCATGGCTCTGACACATGCCGGTTTGGTTACAATAACCACCTGCCAGGCACAGCGCCGCGCTGAAACGTGTGTCGCAGGCTATGTCGCAAATCTTTGTTGACATTAATGTTGAATTTTAATATTTATTATGCACATTTTATGGCATTGGAAAATGTTAAGAATGTTTATCCTACAACAGAAACCATATTAAAACAAAAAATATATCCCCTGATCCATTTTCATATATTTTTGAAGAAGCTCCATGGAGCCACTAGGGGTCGCTAAAAGAGCCATATGTTGCCGATGCCTGATCCAGACCCTTAATGGGGTTTTGTGTTTTATAAAATCCAAGGGTGACGCTGAAGCTGCTCTAAGCTGGGACGTCGCCTGGGATCCTAATGAAACGGCTGTTTAAGGAACTCTTGCAGTTTGGAGAGAGTTTCTTGCTGAGTTCTAATTTGTTTTTGACAGAACAACTCCAACCTGCCAAACTGTTGCTGGTCCAGCATTGTAAGCACCATTGGACAGCCATTCAGCAGGGGCATGTTCCTCTGTACCGTAGAAACCGTCGTTATCATGTGCTTGGTTTGTGAAACAGCTCAGTCCGAAGTCAGTCAGTTGAAGTTGTGGGACTTCTGAGTCAGTAATGAGAATGTTATGGGGTTTCATGTCTCTGTGAAAGATGTTGTTATCCTCCCGACGTTTGGCTGCATCAACCAGCTGTTTTATAATTAGCTTTGCCTGACTTTCCTGTAGAGGCCCTTTGTTATTTTCAACATACTGAGACAGGTCCACTGCAGGCCCTGGTACCTCCATAACCACAATCAGTTCCTGGTTCAGATCGAACCAGTCCAAGAGGGAAACTGGAGCTGACTTCCCCACTGAATTGGTTGTGTCTGTCTTCAGTTTTAGCATGACAGCAACCTCTACAGAGAGTTGCTGCCCATTCTCGTCCATGTCTGTCCAGACAATATTTTTCTTTGGTATGTATTTGATAGCCACCGGTAAATTCTCTGCCCTGCAGTAGCCACCATAAACAGATTCACAGCCTCCCTCTCCGAGCTGATTCTGCTGCTTGTATTTTTCCTCATTTGTCATTTGTACACTCACGAACAATTTCAGTGCCGTGCGTCAGCCTGAGAGCGTGAGGGGGTTCACGCTCAGGAACGATTTGCTGCCATGACATCAGGGGAGGGGGTAATAACAATGAATGTTTTTGCTAACAGCAGTTCTGTATTTTTGAGTAATATCACCTATTTAAAACAAACCGTGCTTCATAAGCGTGTTACTATATTGTAAACAAGAGCAAAACTCCTCACACGCTGTGGTAGGACTATTCGACGAGGAAGCACGCATAGTCAGAACAGCGACTCCGTCTCGGAGGAGAGTCAGAGTTTTATTTATTTTTTATTTTTTCATTCTCACTCCCATTCTCTCTCTCCATGTTTAATCCGCACGTGAATTAAAGCAGCAAATGCAGCCAGATTTGGACACATTTTACCTTTAATGACAATTCAAAGGACGAGTGTGGACTAAGCAAAGCAAAAATATCTTTTCAAGCAGGATCTACAAATGTTCCTGTGTGATTATCTCAGCGTTTCTAAGTTATTTGCCTGTAAGTAGTTCAGTCTGTAAATACTGAACTTGCATAGTTTTTCTTGTTTTTTAAATTTTGCTTTGTTTCACTCTGTTTAGTGTTGGGTTATTTAAAGGGATTCTATGCATTTTTTTCCTTTTTTAAAATCATTTTCTTGAGCCAGTATGTGCTAACACAATCCTTTTCAGGGTTAATGGAAAATCACACAGACCCCACCGTGGGGGGTGGGGGGTTGGCTCCCATTGACTGATTTGACACCGGAGCTGACACACTTTCTGTCTCCTGCAGGAAGGAACGATACAAACGGCATGACGGCACATTTCCCCTCTCCAACTTCTCTCCATTCATGCTGACTCTGTTTCATTCCTGCAGCTCTGGATTCATGTCTAGAATCGGTCATTCATTTTCTCATTCTCAATTGAAAATCAAGAAACTAAAAGGTGAAGTTTTTTGTTTTGTTATGTTTGTTATTCAGCTAAAAAACAGATTTGAGGTTTTTGTCTCATATCATAAATACAAAATAAAACAGGCAGAACTAAATTTGACTTTAAAGAGGACCTAGAATGCAGTTAATCGGTAATCTGAAACTAATCTTTGAGCCTCTATAAAGCATTTACAATTTTGTTGGAGCTTAAAATGTCAGGAGCCACGAGAAATGACCAATCAAAACATGCATAATAAGGCTCATTATAAAAAGACCTGTTTTCACCACCCACTTCACCACTGTGTGTGTGTGTGTGTGTGTGCGTACACATAAATTAACGGATCTTTAAAGAAAAAGGCGTTAAAAACTATTAATATTTGCGCTACATATAAATTATTTGATATTTTTGCACCCCTGCACATGTTCTGTGTTAAATTTTGTATACATTTTGTGATTTTTTTTACACTTTTTGTTTGTTCAATATAGTTCTGAAAAGGAAAAAAAAGTCCCCAATAAAGTGGTGAGTCAAGAATGAGTGTGAAGCTCTTAAAACCATGTCCAATAGGAAGGCTCTAGGTCTAACATTCTTCAGAAAGATGAGGGAAATTGAAGAGAATGGCAGGCTACAGTCAAATGTGAATTCAGCCAACATTAGTTTCCTGTTTAAACCAGGCAAAGACCCTGCATTTCCTACCAGCCATCGCCCCATATCCCTTATTTACGTTGATCTCAAAATAATGTGCAAAGCCCTTGCAAAAGGATTAGAGAAGGTATCCTTTTTCATTATACACCCTGACCAAACTGGTTTCATTAAGTCGAGGCATTCGTCCACAAATTCACGTAGATTACTTAATTAGATACTTTTCTTATAGTAGATACATAGAAACTAATATCTTAGCTCTTGATGCAGAAAAGGCTTTCAACAGAGTTAACTGGAAGTTCTTATTTGCAACTTTACATAAATTTGGTTTTTGAAATTCCTTCATAAACTGGTTAAAAACATTATACAGTTCACTAACTGCACGTGTCAGGTCAAACGACCAAACATCAGCTAGCTTCAGAGGGGGACAGGCAAGGATGCCCACTCTCCCCCTCACTGTTTGCTATCTTTATTGAACCACTAGCAGCAGCAATCAGGCATTCTAGAGGTATTAAAGACATTAAATGTAAGAACATAGAACATAAAATCGGTCTTTATGCAGATGATGGTTACTTTTTCTCCAGAGTTCTCAATTCTCTCCTTTCTAATCAATTTAATTGATAAACTCAATTTCAAGAGTTTCAGATTATTCAAAAAACTGGTTAAAATCCACCGTTCTCCCAATTAATTAAATTAATTAATCTACTAATTGGAATCAGGGAAGATTACATTCTTGGGCACTCATGTGTCTCCCAGGCTGGCAGATTTAACTAAACTAAACTACATCCCACTTTTAAAGAAATTGGAAGATGATCTTGTCAGATGGAAGTCCCTACTGCCATCACTCATTGGGAGGGTTGCCACAATTAAAATGATGGTTTTACCAAGAATCAATTACTTATTTTCAATGATCCCAAGCAAGCCACCATTTGACTGGTGTAGATCTCTGGACTCCTCCATCACTAAATTCCTTTGGCAGGATAAACCTCCACGAATTAGTTTAAAAACGCTTCAGAAGACCAAAGATAGAGGAGGGCTGGATCTACCCAACTTTCATCATTATTTCTTAGCCAATAGGCTCCAATATATACCAAGATGGCTGCAACATAACCAACTAGATGAGTCTTGATTAGATGTAGAAGAGACGCTTTGCAATGAGATAGCGCTTTTGGACCTACCATTTATTAGTTCAAGCATAAGAAGACGTGAAAGCTTTAAGAGTAATAATATCAGCACCTCTCTGACAGCATGGTGGGAAGTAATCCGATACTTAGAACACATATTTGAAAGATTGGATGTCGTGCCATTTAACAGAATTGCCTCCCAATATGGGAAATACATTTTAAGTTATCTCATTAAAGCAGAGTACATAAGCTAAACACACTTATGCCTTACATGGATACAAGATGTATGGAATACAATCAAACAACACTATTTCGCTCA